GAAGCACCTATGAGATCTTTTTTAAGGTGACCATTCACGATCGCTCCAAGCAGACCAAACGGAGCGACGCCGTTCCAAAAACCACGTCAATGGCAAAACTGAACTGGCGTGCCCGGCTGTGCCGAATATTCGACCGGTCCAAACTCCATCGCGCCACTCCAATATCTACGGCGCGATGACGGCATGGCGCGTTCGTGAATGGGAAAACCTGGCGTGGAGGGTGGGGATTTTGGCGCGCTGGCCTGGTCGTGAATCGAAATTCGATCCTCAACCAGTTGGTCGACGTTTTCAAAACAAAGGATACAAATGCAACGAGAGATGCGGTATTGATAACCCCTAACAATGATCAGAAATCGTAGTAGAGAACTTAAGTTCTTTGTAGTTCATCCCTGTAGCGAGAAATCGTAATGTGGTTGCCAACCTTTCATGTAATGATGATTTCTCTCATGACTGTCCTGTTTTCTAATCAAAGGGGTAACAAGCTGGAGTAAATATAAATAAGACGTTAATTTTTTTTTTTTTTTTTTTTTTTGTAAGGTTTTGGTTGAAATGAAGAAATAGTGTCACGAGGGGATTCGAATCCACGACATTCGGCTAAATACGCCGCTGCCTAACCACTTGAGCTTCCTGACTTCGATAGTTCGATCCACTCGGGCACCCATCTCAACCTTTCGAATTTTCGCTCTTTTTGCCATTTTTTGGTGTCGGAGAGGATCGAAGTCACGATAGCTCAAGTGGTAGAGCAGCGGCGTATTTAGCCGAAGGCCATGGATTCAGACCCCCCCCTCTTGCACTAGCTTTTTCATTTCAACCAAAACCTTACAAAAAAGATTAAATAATTGAAATAAGTAATTTGGTCAATAGAACACTAAATATAATGAATAAATAAGACGTTTCATCCATCCTTAAATAGTTCCTCCAATCAGCGGGTTCAAGGGAAAGATCTTTCATCAAATTGATGTGGGTATTCGGCTTTTGTTCAGGAGCCACTTCTTACACCATTTTCTCTTCGATTTTTTGCTTTTAATATGTAAATAAACAGAAGAGTAGCACAAGATATCGTCATCCATTTTGAGAAGGTAATTCACTGGTTGACGGTCGGAGCGACTGGCTGTGGAGCGGTCGTGAATGCCCCCTCAAATTTCAGGCACTCCAAATGAAGCTGTACGGCTTGGCGCGGTTCCATTTGGAGTGATCATGAATGGCCACCTTTACAATTAGGCAAAGATCCAATGGCCCTCGCCCTCAAGTAGTTCACAAGAGAGATCTTTTGGTCAATTTGGCAAACAACGAACAAGCCTCTGCCTCAGATATATCTAACAAGTCTTTTGGAAAATTGGACAAAGATTGAGCAGGCCTCAGATATAGCGTCTAAGAGATCTTTTGGACAAAGTAGAGTTCAACCTCAGATTTGGCATCTAAGAGATCTTTTGTACAATTAGACAAGCAAAAGTCCAATTGGGGACTGAAGTCTATTTGATGATTTTTCAATTGTTCAAAAGTTCTCCAATGTGAACTAACGCAGGATCTCCAAGGGACAATATCAGAAGTTAAGGTCTATTCGATGATTTGCCAATTGTACAAAAGATCCCTTAGATGCCTTATCTGATGCTAAGGTCTATTCGATCTTTGTCAAAAAAAGCTGAAATATCTTGTAGAGGAAATTGACGAGGTTAAAGCCTACCAGAACTATTACCGATTATCCCAAAGGCCTCCTAGGTACGATATTTGAGACAATTTTGTACTAGCCTCTTCGGTTTTGTACTATTTCGGCCTATCCCATCCATATGAATCGTATCAAACCTACGACGTAGAAGACGATCCGAGGAGCAAAGGGGGTGACCTTTACTTTCATGCTGGGGGGAGAAAGTTGGAATTAAGGCTCTTCTTCCTCCTCTCAAGGATTTCATCCTTTCGATTGTGCAACTCGCGCATCTCGGTGGATCGGATGAGCATCGGAGATAGACTCAGAGTGGGGGTGGATTGAAAATAAAAATCCTACAGCTCTCGCAGAGCCGACAGAAGGTCTTCTTTGATGTAAACCCCAGCCGCAATATTCGACACACTGACACAGATGTGGGAGGGAAAAAAACAATCTCGTAGAAGTTGCAAGCAGATTTGCACCTCTATCGCAACAGGGCATGCGGTGTGCGCAACGTGTTTTCCGGTGAAAGTGAAATAATCGCGCAATTTCAAATGGCCGTTTATTGGGGATTTTTGCCCGATCCCGGGACCTTGGAAGAATAAACCTGTTTTCTGAATTAGGGCGTATTCGCTTTTTTTTATTATGAATTTTTCCTCCTCTAACTGGCATCTCTACAACCGTTCGAAACTTGGGACCTTGGGCCGGTTACGAATTCCAGACCTGACCGCACGTGTGCCTGTCAATATGTGGGTTCAACTAACGTGCTTTTGTCTCATTTTTTGTTTAAAAACCAAAAAAAGCATCGAGAAAAACCCAAGCGGACCCATTCGCGTCGCAGGGTGGTCGCGGACCCACCACGAATCATAGTGTATATCAACTAAAAAATCATTAGGGGGGTCATATATTTCATTGTTTAACATAAATTTTTAACATAAGTAAACGTTGGGAGCCTGGGACCGGTTTGCCTTGATCAGGCCGGTCCACTACTCCAGAACCACAAAGGAAATAAAACAGATTTTCGTGTAAAGGGGAAAGATTTGGACCAATTTTGTGCCGCGTTAGTACATTCGGGAACGTGTGATGGTTGAATAACTGTACTATTCGCTAACTAGTGATATTCATTCGTTAAACTAGTTAATGAATCAGTGAGTTAATCATACAGTAAATGAATTTGTGGGTGAATCGTTCAGTGATTGGATTTTATACACAATTGTAGTGTGTGAGCCGTTCACAAACTATCTAGTTGAATAAATCGTTCATATTGTCACTAAACGATTCGTTAACTAGTTCGATCAGTGAACGGCTCAGTCGCTCATGTGATCAACCCGTTTAATGATTGAACGATTCACAAACTCAATGCCACTGAACGGCATACTCACTAAGATGGACTGTATTATTGAGTTACTGAACGATTCGTTAGCTAGTTCAATGAGGGAACGGCTCACTCAATAAAACTGACTGTATTATTGAGTTACTGAACGATTCGTTAGCAAGTTCAGTGAGGGAACAGCTCACTCAATAAGATTGACTGCATTATTGAGTTATTGAACGATTCGTTAGCTAGTTCAATGAGGGAACGGCTCACTCAATAAAACTGACTGTATTATTGAGTTACTGAACGATTCGTTAGCACGTTCAGTGAGGGAAAGGCTCACTCAATAAAACTGACTGTATTAGTGAGTTACTGAACGATTCGTTAGCAAGTTCATTGAGGGAACGGCTCACTCAATAAAACTGACTGTATTATTGAGTTACTGAACGATTCGTTAGCAAGTTCAGTGAGGGATCGGCTCACTCACTAAGATTGACTGTATTAAATTCACTAATTTCGTGGTCCGCTTGACCAATTAATATATTACAATTAATTAAGGTTTTTAATCGAGATAAAAAAGTCAATGGCACGAGCGGGATTCGAACCCACGATCTTTCGGCTTGATACGCCGCTGCTCTACCACTTGAGCTATCGTGACCTCGATCCATCGGACACTAACTTCTCATCTCAACCCCACCTTTTGAATTTTCCCTCCTTTTTGCCATTTTTCAAATGTCGTGTAATCGGATTGGATTCTCGACGACAAATGATATGGCCACGGAGAGCTAATTGGTCAAGCGGGGCCACGAAATTAGTGAATTTAATGATTTAAAATTAAGTATTTTTCACTAAAGCTCTCCGTGGCCATTTCATTTGTTGTCGAGAATCCAATCCGATTACACGACATTTGAAAAATGGCAAAAAGGAGGGAAAATTCAAAAGGTGGGGTTGAGATGAGAAGTTAGTGTCCGAGTGGATGGAGGTCACGATAGCTCAAGTGGTAGAGCAGCGGCGTATCTAGCCGAAGATCGTGGGTTCGAATCCCGCTCGTGCCATTGACTTTTTTTATCTCGACTTTAATTAATTGTAATTGACTGTATTATTGTGTTATTGAACGATTCGTTAGCTAGTTCAATGAGGGAACGGCTCACTCACTAAGATTGACTGTATTATTGAGTGACTAAACGATTCGTAAACTAGTTAACTGGTGAATCGTTCATAGAATGAATGACTGAGAGAATCGTTCACTAACTGAACTAGTTAGCTTATTTTTCAGTAACTGAATCATATCATGAGTCGAATCAGTAAGTGACTAATTCACTCACTGAAGTAACTAAATGCATCGTTAGGCGATAAATTATCAAATCATTTACTATACATTACAGTGGTCTAATTGACCATATTAATTATTTCAATTAATTAATCTTTTTACCTAAGGTCTCGGATGGGATGAAAAATGGCAAAAGAGGGAAAAATTCGAAAGGTTGTAGGTTGAGATGAGTGGTTGGTAGCCGAGTTGATCGAAGTCATGATATGTCAAGTGGTTAGAGAAGCGGCGTATTGAGCAGGTCGTGGGTTCGAATCCCGCCCATGACGCTAACTTTTTCATCTCAAGACCTTAAGAAAAAATAAATAATAAATTAATAAATCATTAAAGAATAATTAAATAAATAAATAATAATTTACTAGAACTACTAAACTACAAAAAGGTATGATGTACATCTTGATTCTGGGGTTTATCAAGCACCTACCAGGATCAAAAGTAATAAGAAAAATTATTTTATGTATTAAGACTTCACCGTTCACCGATACATTAGTTATTTCCCTTAATTTAGGGATCTAGCTAGCTCAAATTTTTAGGGAAGTGGGGTAGAGCAGCGATGCCATTTGAAAAATGGTAGGTCAAATTCGGAAGGGCTGAGAAATCAGGTCGATCTTGAATATTTAACAGAGCGGTTTAGGCTTTAAATCTTCGATAGAATTTCAATGCCAAGACTTAAACGAGGTGGTGGACCCCCTGGTGACTTTGGCCGGGCACTTAGCCCGTCCCCCACCGGCCGGGATGGAATCCGGGGGGACCTGGAAGGGATAAACCGACGGACTGGCCTCCTCCCGATCTGGAGGGAAAAAAAAGCAGTCTTTCAAGAGCCGAGGACAAGGCAGCGAAAGTGCACCGCCGACTGAGAGAAGAGAGAGAGAAGCAGCAGCAGAAAGGCCAACAGAAGGAGAACAACATGAAACAACTCTTCTGCCTCACGTGAGTCCCACTGAGAAAATATTTAGTTAAAAGAATTGAAATATTTTTCCGTTTTTTTTTTTTTTCTCTTTTCCATTCGACGGTCTCTCTCCGGCCTCGGATATGAAAGTTACAAAGGCAATTGCACAATAAAGAGGCGCAGCTTCATCGCTTATTCTGATTTTATAGGCGTGGCAGATTTAAAAGGAATGCGTTCGTATAAAATTTCCGCCAAGGCGCGACTATACCGGAGTTGTCGAATGAAGGGCGGTCGGGAAGAAAAGAAATTTAGACGGAGTCTTCCAAAACTGCGGTCCCAATAACGTCCGAAAGCCAGGCGCCTGCCTCGAAAAACCATCATGACCAGACCCACTTGAAAAACTCCACAAGTTGTCGTAATTTAAACCTGAATTTTTAATTAAGACATTTTTGAAGAAATGTGGACGGAATTGCCCAAAATTGTGGTTCTACTTTTTGTCCAATACCCAGAAATTTGCACATTTCCACGACTCCTCTCTGGCCAGACACACTTAAAAAAACTCCACAGGTTTTCGTAATTTAAACTTGAAACGTAATTTAGACATTTTTCAAGAAATGTGGATGAAATTATCCAAAATTGTTATTCTAATTTTGTCCAAAATCCCAGAAATTTGCATATTTCCACGACCGCCCCTCTGGCCAGACTCTTGAAAATCGCCAAAATGTTTTTGTAATTTAAAATTAAATCGTTAATTAAAACATTTTTAGAGAAATATGATCGAAATCGTCCAAAATTTTGGTTCTACTTTTTGTCCAATACCCAGAAATTTGAAAATTTCCACGACTCCTCTCTGGCCAGACTCTTGAAAAACTCCACAGGTTTTCGTAATTTAAACTTGAAACGTAATTTAGACATTTTTCAAGAAATGTGGACGAAATTATCCAAAATTGTTATTCTAATTTTGTCCAAAATCCCAGAAATTTGCATATTTTCACGACCGCCCCTCTGGTCAGACTTGAAAATCGCCAAAATATTTTTGTAATTTAAAATTAAATCGTTAATTTAGAAAATTTTTTTAAAGAAGTGTGAACGAAATTGTCCAAAATTGTTGTTCTAATTTTGTCCAAAATCCCAGAAATTTGCATATTTCCACGACTCCTCTCTGGCCGGACCCACTTGAAAAATTCCACAAATTTTAAAACTGAATCGTTAATTTAGACATTTTTCAAGGAAGATAGACGAAATCGTCCAAAATTGTGGTCCTAATTTGTTTCCAAAACCCAGAAATTCGCACACTTCCACGACCGCCCCACTGCCCAGACTCTTGAAAAACCCAACACATAATTTAATCTTGAATTTTTAACTTAGACATTTTTGAAGAAATGTGGACGAAATTGCCCAAAATTATGGTTCAAATTTCCGTTCAAAACCAGAAATTTAAACACTTTTAAGATCCATGTCTGCCAAGACTCTCGGACAAGCCACCAAACATGGCCGTCCTGAAATTATTAAAAGTTAAATTGAGTCGTTAATTTAAATAGTTTTCAAAAAGTTTTAGACAAAATTGTCCAAAATTATGGTTCTAATTTATATCCAAAAACCCAGAAATTCGCTCTCTTCCACGACCCCCCCCCCTGGCCTCACTCTTAAAAATCCCCACAAGTTTTCGTAATTTAAACTTGATCGTTAATTTAAATTTTTTGTAGAAATATGGACAAAATTGTGGTCCTAATTTTTGTCCAAAAACCCAGAAATTCGCATATTTCTACGACCACCCCTATGGCGAGACTCTCAATTTCCGTCCAAAACCCAAACATTTACACACATCCACGCCCCCTCATTCAACAATTTCGACTCACAGAAATATAGAACGTTAAATGGAATCATTAAACTATTGAGTATTTTTATTAAAATAAATGCGGAAAAAATCGTCAAAATTTTCCTTTTATGGCCAAAAAACAAAAACTAAGACTCCCCCCCACCAGTTAAAAATTTCGACGCCCAGAAATGTAGAATTTTAAATGGATAAAATTATATTCGATTATTTTTCAAAGGATGTAGGAAAAATTCGTCCAAAATTTTGGCCTCACTTGGCACCCAAAACATAAACATTTACACACTTCCTCGACTCCTATCTAACCAGTCGCTCGGAAAACCACCTCCTAACTTTTTTTAATTGAATCGTTTGTACGGGTGGACGAAATTGTCCAAAATTGCTAAATTTGTGGATCTTCCCGTTCAAAACGTCCAAAAAATACATTAATAGACGGCCCCCAGTCAAAAAAAAATATATTCATTCTTAAAGGTAAACGTTTATATCAGCTATTTTTCAAAGAACTAAAAAGAAAAAATGGTCCAAAATTGTGTTTCCTCTTGACGTCCAAACCACAAATTTACACACTTTCACGACCTCCTCATTCGGCCCTGACTCCTATAATTCCTTAAAAACTTGTCGCCCCATATTATTTAAATGGGACGTTTAGGGGGGAAAAAAACTTGGACAGAATTGACAGAATTGGACGAGGTTGTCTAAAATTGTGGCGTCTCTAGCCTTGCCCCAAACCAAAAATTTTCAACACTTTCCTCATCGTCCATACTTGACGTCCTGTAAATCAAAATGGGATATTTGTTTTTTTGCCAAGATGTCGGCGAAATTGTCCCAAATTCTAGTCTCTATTTCCGTCTAACAGCCAAAAAAATTTATCCCTACCTTAATATAAAATAATCACCGTCCAATAATAAATGTGAAGCGTCCAAAAATGGTTAACGATCGCTTTATAACCTCTCATATCCTCTTCACCAACCAATAAGAATCTTCCCCGCCAAAATAAGCCCCTTACATCCATCCACCACATAATGTAAAATATACTATAGACTGCTATACTTTATAGACAGTTTTTTCCCTATTCCACTTCAGAACCGTCGGCAAATTATTTTTTCGATTCGGAGAGGCACGAAAATCGTTTAACGCTGGCTTTATAACCTTTTCATGCGATCGTGACGTCATCAGGATCTCCCCGCCAACACTAGCCCCCACTACTTACCGGAAAATATATTTTTTTAAACTAATTTTTTCTGCTTTAGCCGTTTTTCGACTAGACTTTCACTTGAGAAACATCGGAAAAATTATTTTTTTCGAATCGAAGTGATATAAAAACCGTTGGACCCTTTTATAACCTGATGCGATTGTGACGTCATCAGAATCTCCCCGCCAAAACTAGCCCCCTTTACTGGGAAAAAAAATTTAAACTGATTTTTCCTGCTTTTAGCCGGTTTTCGACTAGGTTTCCACTTGGGAACCGTAGGCAAATTATTTTTTTCGAATCGGACGGATATTAAAATCGTTTGAAGACCCTTCTCCCCACTTACATGCGCTGATTCGGTTGTGGCGTCATCGAATAGCCTAATGATCCTATGATCGGTCATAATTGATAATTTCCGTTTTAGACTTGTGCTCGGCCTGGCGTGCTTCGCCCTTGGCCAGGACTACCAGGACATCGAAGAGAAACCGATTTCCAGGCTGAGGAGCCCTAGAGGGCCGCTCATACCCAACAGGGCCAACAAACAACAGGTGGGTCTCCGGATAAATAATTGACGATCAGCACATAATTTTTTAAAATTTTCTTTCAAGGCTCTGAAGGCTCAGACGACGACGACTACGACAACAGAAGCACCTGCCGAAGAGTACGACGAGGCGAACTACGACGAAGAAGAACCCCAGCAAACAACTACAACGACCGAAGCGCCCAAGAAAGGGATTAGAGGTAATTAATTAGATATTGGTTTTGATTGAGTGTTTGATTGATGGATCGATTTGGTTAGGAGGAGTGCTTAGGCCATTCAGGTCCAACACGGACTTGATCGAAGCACTGAAGAGGAGGAGGGCCCAGGCGGGATCTGCCTCGCAGCACCACTCGACGACAACAACCACCACTTCCGCCCCCCAGGAGTCGAGCAAGTCCCAAAGGAGGTCCAAGGGGCTCGAACCGTCCCGCAAATTTGCCAGGAACGGGTACCAGGGTCAAACGAGCACGACTGAACCGCCCCAGGGGGACGAGCCGACTCAGAGGTCGCGCTATTTCGCCGGCAGGGGAAAACGATTTTAAGTTAAATCCTCCTCAAGAACAGATGGCAGATAGAAAAGAAAACCTGCCCTATTCGAAGAACCGACATCTTATAAATAAATTGTGATAAACTCAATTATAAGGCCATAATTTTTCTTTTTTTAATGTTAATAAATGTAATTTTTCAATGAATGAAACAAAAAATCCGGCCATGTATTTTTTAAATATTTTATGTTTTAATTAAAAAAAAAAAATAAAGTTACCAATTTGCCAAGGTGGTGTTACAAAACACCATACCCCAGCAGCAAAACTATATTGTAAATATTATAAATAAACTTTAAAAAAAGAAACGATTTTTTTTTTCGGATTATTCTATACAAATACTAGGTGAGATGCGTTTGAAGGTACTTAAATTTCCAGGCTTTTAGGAAAACAAAAGTAAATCCTCGAAACAGTAAGTTAAACAGATAAGATGAAATCGCTTGAGAAGGTTGGACACTAAGAGACGGTTTCGTTTGAGAAAGTTGGCGCATAGGAGAGTAACACTTGAGAAGAGTTGTATAAATGAAAATTTTCATACAAGAAGATTTCACTTGAAAAAGTTTGTATAAAAAAGCGGTTACACTTGAAGAGATTTCATTTGAGAAGGTTTGCTCAAAGGGGAGGAGGTTTCATTTGAGAAAGTTTGCCTAAAGAATCGGTTTAAAGTTGAGGAGGTTTCATTTGAGAAGGTTTGCACAAAAATGAGGTTTCATTTCAGAAGGTTTGCACAAATAAGTGGTTTACAGTTGAGCAGGTTTGTATAAAGGAAAAATTTCATATGAGCAGGTTTGCACAAAGAATCGGTTTACAGTTGAAGACGTTTCGTTTGGGAAGGTTTGCACAAATAGGAGGTTTCTTTTAGAAAATTCTCACAAAATAAAAGAGAAACTTCAAAAATTATACACAAAAGGGATTGAGGAAATTGAAATTTGATGTTTGTACAAAGGGGAGGTTTCGATTGAGAAGGTTTGCACACAAAAATGGTTACACTTGAGGACGTTTCATGTGAGAAAGTTTGAAGAAAGGAAGGTTACACTTGAGGAGGTTTTACAACGAGAGGGTTCCATTTAGGAAGGTTTTCACGAAGAAAAGATTAAACTTCAGAAGGTTTACACAAAGAAAAGTACCCATTTGAGAAGATTCGTGCAAAGGGGAGGTTTGATTTCGGAAGATTTGCATAAAGGAAGTTTCATTTGAGAAGGTTTGCACAAAAAATGCGGTGACACTTGAGAAAGTTTGCCCAAAGGAATGTTTCACAAACTTGAGTAGGTTTAACATCTTGAAGAAATTTGCACAAATAGGTTTAAAAAAAAAGCAAGGGGAGGTTTCATTTGAGAAGGTTTGTCAAAATAATATCAAAACGGCAATGGAAGACGCAGTTAATTTTAGAATTTATTTATTTGATTTAACTTTGGACGTAGTAGGTTGGGAAAAAAATTGTAAGATAACAATAACAACAAATACATAATTATTGATGTGTTTAATTAATATTTCTCGGTGATTCGGCCGAATAGAGTTTGATTATAGTAAAATAATATTTTTAAATTAAAACTTACCAAGAAGAGGTAAGGGCGGTAATGATGTAAAAACCACTTTTCACACCACCTTCAATCCCCTCGGGTCTTGGCACACGCAATTTATCCACCTTGAGATTTGTTAGGCGTTTCCATGGCACCATTGAATTAAAGGTGATCAAGTCTAAGGCCCTCACTTTAGGCGTCTCAGAATATCTGCAATTTTTTGAACTTTTTTTTGCGCACAAATTCTATTGCTTTGTTAAGGATCAAATCAGCTCAAGGTTTAAAAATAAAATAAAATAAAAGTTTATATATATATATAGANTTTAAATCTCACACTTGCCGCACCTATATTTATTGAAACTTTTTCCGTAAAGAAAAAAAAAATTTATAGTATAAATTTTGCGTGTCTTGTGTTCGACTAAGTATAAAACAATAAAAATAAACAATTGACACTTTTTTCTCTCTCTTTACTCCCTCCCCTTTCTTATATTTAAATACATTGTTTATTGAAATTTTTATGAGGGGAGGAATAATTTTAAAGCAGCATAACATTTTAGGTAATAAAAGAAAACAATTGACAATTGATTATAATAATAAAGGAAAGAAAATTAAACGACATCGTTTAAAAAAAAGGATACAAATATATTTAAGGGGGTGGGAAAGGAACAAACAACTTTTTTCCTCTCGATAAACAATTTTGTTTAATGTATAATGAAAAAATTACATTATGAAAATTACAAACATTCAAATCTCTTCTTCTTTGCTGTTTCTTTTGATTTAATAATGTTATCGATTTGATTTTAATAAGATTCAAAAGAAAAAAAAAAGGCAAGACTAATTCTGAATAAAAAGATAGATTTTTCATTGAAAAAATTATTGTATTGGTTGGCCGTGCGAACACGCAAGAGAACTTAAATATGTACTTTTTTATTTTTCCTGAGGAAAAATCAAACCAAAGAAAAAAGTTAAAACTATCAAATTTGGCTTTGTGAGTAACTATTTAATTTTAATTTCTGACAGTTTACCAGCTAACATCTATGGAATACAAGTGTCAAAGAGGTTTTTCCCCCTGAATCTTTTTGTAGAAAATAATAACAGTAACATTCATAAAATAATAATGTATGAAAAGTATATTAATAAAAAATCTATCAACCATAAATTAAATGAAACCAATTCCCCAATTTTTAATGCAAAAAGTACATATTGTTTAAATTATTATGTATATTTATTCGATGAAAATGGATGACTGATCAATTCGTCGAATATATGGGATAAGGGGTACCTTTTTTTTTTCCCCCTCACAATTAATAACTGTCCTAATTTTGATCGTCCGTTCAATTCTTCAGGTATGTACGAAGGCCAAGTTCTTTTGGGTCTCAGGCCTAGCTGTTGATTTTGTAGAGCCGTGAAGTTGAACGAACAGGACGTACAAAATCTCAACAAATTACGACCGTAATTGATTATAAAAAAAAACTAAGATGATCCCCTCATTCATATATTCTACGATTAATACTTAAAAACTATTGAATGTTTTTATTACATATTTAAAATAATATTACAATAAATCAAGGAAAATAATTTTTTCTTCCACTTTTTTGGGGGGGAGGGGGTTAAATCTTTTTATTATTATTTTTTAAATCAACCTTATTCTTAATATTAAATATATTAATTATTTTTTACCTCTTTGTGATTTTTATATTATTAATTAAACATTTGAATAACTAGAGTGCAATATTTATATTTCAATGAATTTTTGTTTAATCTCTCCCTTTTTCAATAATAAACTAAACAAAAATTATATAAGCAAGCATTGTTAAAAGAAAATTTAAAAAAACACAATATTTATTACAAGTTTACAATGAATTTTTTTTTAACTTTACAATATTTTTTGTTCTTCTAAAAAAGCTGTATTTTTTTAAATTTCTGTTTTAAGTATTAAGATATATACTTTTTTCTTAAATCTTACTGCATAAAAATAAAGAAAAATTAACGATAACTGATATTACACACAAAAAAGGTCGCCGATCGTACGGTAAGAACTGTCGAGGCCTGGAGAATCGAGCATGTTTTTGTTTGTTTTCTTATATTATTATTTTTTTATTTTTATTATGTTATTACGTCAAATGACAATAATCGACGATTATTGTTTTCTCCCATTTCTGCTAATGTTATTTTCATTTCAAAAAAATAAAAACATCAACGGGCGTCTCTAGGAGTGACAAAGTCGCCGTGAACATCGGATTCATAACTCACAATATTTACATTACATTTTTCTTTTAATACACGTTATGCAATAATTATTTATTTATATTATTAACCCACCCCATTAAGCGATACAGGGACAGCAATAAAATGACAAAAAAAAAAGAGCGATTGTAAACAGTTTTTTTTATACAGTACCTCATGCAACAAAAGTTTAACATAAAAAACAAAGTGAATGGCATATATGTCCATCTATACACAGCATATACCATAGTGAGTACATGCATATATGTATATACTTCTTATATATGTTTATTATCGCTCTTATTTGCTTTTAATATATTTTTTTTTTTATATATTTTTACACTTTTTACCTAGTTTTTTAAATTAATTCTAACCGTCACTGTGCATTTTTCCCCCATTACATACATATATTTGTGTATATAAATTTTTAAAAATTGTTTTATAAACAAATAAAATATAGTTCAGAGGTCTTTTTGGTTCAAACAGTATGGGAGAAAAAAATGCACGGGGTGCTGGCGGCGATGGATTTGTTTTATATATTACATTGTTGTTGTTTTTTAAATAAATTTCACAATAAAAACATATTACACAACAGCAAAATTAACCCTTTCATGCTAAATACTTTGATCATTTAAATTAAAGGGATAAAATCTTTCAACTACCGACAAAAAGAAAATTCATCTTATCTACAAGTTATTTTGCCCGACTAACTTTTTTTCTTAAATGTTTATTCGTTATCAACATTATCGTTATTCGTTCTCTCTCTTAATTATGCACTTATATAATAGTTGATTTTTATTTTTAAAAGTATAATACTATAATAAGTGTACATTTAAAAATTTAAAATCGATAAAACCATTTCAAAAAAAGAAAAGAAACGACAAACTTACGAGCTATTTTAATTATTATTCTGCTTATTTACTTATTTTTATCAAATTTTTTTTTGTCTTTTTCCCATTTTTATTTTTTAAAAATTCATAGTTATGCTTTATTCAGTTTCACTTTTGTGTGCACAAAAAAGCGCATTGCGTTCAATACATGGTCGTAGTGTTCAGGTTAGAAAAAAAACTGACCCATCCAGGCCCCTCGCGAATCAGTAGTGACAATAACTATCTTATATTTTTATTACAAAAAAATGCACGCAAATAATAATCAAAATTAATGAAAAAAAGAACAGTTCTTACCGATGCTCCGATCGCCTGCAGTTTCGTTTTTGACTGAACAAATTTTTATTTATTTATATCGTGTATTATTTGTTTTGTTTTTTCTCTCTTATAGGCTTAATTAAACCTTATGTTGATCGATTAATTACAGAGCACTCTGAGAAAGTACTGAAACCGTGGGAAGGGGGGAGGGCACATATCAGATAACAAAAAATCTAATTTAAAAAAAAAATTGAAAATTATTCGGTTTTGTTTTTGTTAACCAAAATCAATAATGAATTAATTTAAAAATAAAATAATCCTCTCATCACTAATAATAAATATCAATAATAAAAATTGATAATAAATATCAATTTTTATATTTCTTACATTATTATGTTTTCTCCCCCCCCCCTCTTGATTGCTCTTGGCATTTAATGTCTTATATAATTTCATTTTTCTCTCAATTTTTTTTTTTAGAGTGTTGTAAATACATTATGTATGTACATATTATGTGTACTCACATGCGAGTGAGACACAATTTTATGTAATTTAGTCTGAATCGGACTCGTTTTTTTTATTTTTATTTATGCATACTTTATGTGTTATTCAACATGTATCATCGCGTTTTTTTTTTTTTTAATTGCTACGTAAATATTAAGCATACACATTAAAATACAAACGCATGTATGGTTTTTCTTAAAAATTTTGTAAATAAATTACACTTTTTTTTGTGTGTCGCACGTGATCAATTTTTAGAAATTAATGAGCACCCCACTATTGTGCTGGGCACGCTGTTTAAAAATAAAAAATTTTAATGTCAAAGTACGATTTTTTAAAAAATCTTTTCTTTGTCTCTGTTTTCTCATAATTTTTTTTTTATTTTTTGCAGATATTAAATACAATGTAAAGAAAAAGATTTGTTGTTAAATATAAATTCCATCAGGTATTTCAATTAAAAAATAATAATAATAAAAAAAGAAACAGTACAAAGCAAGGGGGAGCCATCGGAAAAAATAACCGACGCGACTTTTTTTTTTTTTTTAAACCGTATCACAATATTTGAGATTTTTTTTTTCAAATATAAAAACAAAACAAACAAAAAATAAAAACAAAAACCTCCGAATAACAAAATAAACTGAGTTACTTATCTCCTTTTTTTTTTTTTTAAATCCATCATGTCGCACTTCATACATCATATATATATATAATCTGTATAAACGTTACCTTTGTTTCTGTTTTAAAAAGTCTTATAATGTACAAATTGAAACTTTTTTTTTCTTCAACTTCGTCCTTTATTTCCGTGTGGTCCTTATCTTTCTTCCGATAGTTCGATTTAAATCGAGTCGGTCCTTAAAAGCTATTTTTCTTTTTTTCTTTATAAACTATACACAAATAAATTATGGAGTCTTTTTTTCTCATTATCATTGGCACTTTAAACCTTAGTTCAGTTGTCGTTGAGCTGCGCCGGCGTTAGGACGTCCTTCCCGCTGCCTTTGGCACCGCACGAGCCTCCTGCGTGAAATAAAAGCACAGATTTTTTTTGTCATTTCTCTGTTAATACATACTGTCGGGATTTTTTAAAACACGCCGGAGTGAATTTATTTGGTGTTAACCTGATGCGACCGGAGCGGAGGCAAATTGATTCGACTGGGCGTTGTCCCCATTGGTACGGATCACAGACTCGTTTGCACTGGAACAAGAAAAAACATACATGTATTAAAAAGGCCTGGACCTGGCTTAAGATAATAAATTGTGCCTGTTTCCAAGGAAAAAAAATTATATGGTATGGTGGTTGTATGTACTTCACATTTACCACACACACACGCACGCACGAACGCGCGCGCACACACACACACACACACACACAAAATAATAATAATTATAATTTTCTACCATTTTTTAAAATAATAATTACTCACTTTGTGGTTTGCTTCTTTGGTTCGTTATTGATGAGGATGCGCTTTTTCTCTTCGAACTCGGTATAATCTTGATCAATAAAAACTGACGCATTTACAACTTTACTAAAAACGGGGAGAATGTTAAGACAGTATAACATTATTAATCAGGCAATTTTTGCGGTACGCTGTAAATTTATAAGTTTACCCATTAATAGGCGAGACGATGGTCATCATCCCTCGGCCGCGTGTCTTCCTCCCGTCTTTCTTGCTTACGATGGCATTTTTCTTTTTCCCGTTCACCTGGCGAAAAGAAAACAAACGTCAAGAGATGGAGGAGTTGTACTTTGAGTTTTACTTACAATGACTTTCCCAGGGACTCGCCCCTTCCCGCATTGTGCGAGGGCGCTGCCCCCTCTAGTCGTGTACGTCGGGTTTTTCCCACCCCTAATTGCAGAACCCCCATTATATCCAACGTTCCCAATTGACGTCACCTGTAACATGTCCCAAAGTTTAAGGCAAAAAAAATTAAATAAAAATACAGAAAATATAGCAATTGCAAAACAAGAAACCCTACCAACACCGTACAAGGCGTAATTTATAAAGAAGGTATAAACTTTGATAAAATGTTACCCATCTCATAATATAGACTTGTAAAATTGACATATTGTAAATTTTGTAAATCAGTGACAGACCTGAGTCTGCGGAACCATTAGGTTTTGATGGTGGAAGCGACAGTTGGGCCCCCAGTTGCCAACGACGACACCCGCGATTTCCAGTCGGCCGCCCGTTGTCATTCCTGGACGACAGAACAATTTCAGTACACTGACTTAATTTTTAAGTTTAAAGGTACTTACCACGACCTCGTACTGACGACAGAGCACCTGCGCCCCTTGTGAAAGTCGAGCCCTTCGAGGCGAGGCCAGCCGGCATGACAGAATGCACTCTAGAAGAGTCTGGAAATAGTTGAGTTTTTAGATTTCATGATTTCATTATTCAGTCTGATCAGTAATGATCAAATTATAAGTAAAAAAAATTACCTGCTGCGAGTGCCGGGATGTACATTGGCTGTGCCCACTGGATATAAAGGCCGTCGAGTATGGCCTCTCGCATACGTTCGACTTTACCGACTTGTATCGTCCTGTAATTGCACAGTTCTGGAAGGTTGTTGGCTGTTTCGGACCTCGCCAGCATGGCATGGAGTAGCTTTCCGTCGAAATAAAGCCAAGGGCACGTCATGACCCATGGTATCGGCGCCCCGCATGTGTCGTTTACAAGCAGAGCGTACTCAATTCCGGTCATGATAAGCGCGCCGATTTGTATCCCCCTCGTTGAAACGCAGTTCACCTGGAGTTCCTGGTTGAACTCGGAGTTGTTGAGGTGAGGGTCCATCGCCATGGATATGATCGCATCGAGTTCCTGTTTCTTCAGCATCCTCATTTCAGGATTTGACATTATATACCTAAGTACTGTCGCTAGGATCAACAACTGCTGTGGCACGTAAGTAGGATCGAGCATGAGCTGCGTGTCCGATCTCATGCACGTCAAATAAGCTCTCAGTCTTCTTCTTTTATCATCGACTGTCGTTCTAATAAATTTTTAAAAAGTCAATTTAAGTTTAAAAAAATGTAAGAAAAAACATACATACCCGAACCACAGTCGTTGAACTGTTGGCACGCCCCAACCGAGAGGCTCGGCTTTCACTATCTCCGGCTTCTCATACGGGTTCGACCTGCTCCATATCCATTCTTTGACCTTGACCTCAGGCGGTTTTGAATCGGTACCCTGTGCCTTGTTGTTCTTGTGTATGTACTGTAGATGGTGGAGGTTGAAAAGTATTGCGTAAACCATCATACGGAGCGGCCTATAGAACAGCTGTACGCTCGGTATGTCCTTGTGGTTCTCGTCCTCCATAACGACTGGGAGTTTGACCTCGCCCTGTTAAAAAAAAGAGTAGCAGTATGATTATTTACAAGTCCCATAAAAAAATAATCAAAAGTTACAAACCTCAGTGAGGATTTGGTAAATAAAGGGCGACATGAGTCCTTTGGTGTGGCGTTCGGTGACGGTCCGCATTATTTCCGCTGCTACCGGGTGCAGCTCTATCTTTTCCTCTTCAACTACCAGTCTTACGGTTTTCTTTGGCTTTGCCCCATTCTCGGCGGTGCGGTACGGTGACGTTGCACCCGAGCTCGATCCCGAACTTGACATTGTGAGGAGGTTGTGATTTCCATTTACAGCCTAGGGGGAAAAAGGTGATAAGTGCAATTGACAACGGGTAAGCTTGTACCGTACCTTTTCGCCGTTGATCTGAGCTGTCGGTTCATGAGGCTCAGTCGTCTTGGAAACGTTGACGACTATCTCAGGCCCAACGGAAAGGCATGCCACAGCCTCCGTGAGGGTTATCAACCCATCAAGCTAGAATAATAAATAATTTTAAGATTTTGTTAAAGAAAAATTTATATATTTTTTAATTATTGAAATTACCTCATTTCCTGTGCTTTCGGATGCCAACCTTGATGTGTCCATACCAGGTTCAGAATTTTCAGTCTTTTCGTTCAGTTTAGCTAAACCTTTCTTTTCAGTTTTTTTACCTAGAAAGAAGAACATTAATAAAACAAGTTTGTTATTTATTTTTATCGAGCCCACTCACCGTTGGCACTGATTTGGAATTTGAACGTGCCGTTTTTAGTGCCATCGAGATAATATTGAACGGCCTGTTTGAACTTTTCCGCCCGTTCGCCTCCGACTACGCCGAAAATCTCTGTGGCTAGGTCATTTATGTCAGTGGAAGACAGAGACCGTACAAAACCGGCGACAGCTCTCACCTTCTCGGGCGCAATAGCCCTCACCTTCTCAGATGGGGCGTCAGCGACCGTACCGTCTTTGCCCGGCTTGGGTTCGACATTGAGCTTTTTGTACAGGTCACTCAGCTCACTTTCAGGAAGGAGGAAGTTGCCGAGTAGGGCGGCCAGGACACACAGCTGTTCCTGCGTCAATTCAAGCCCTTTCATGACTTCGGCTATTATATACTCTTTCGACTCTAGAGTACCCTATTAAAACAACAATTAAAACCAATAATTAATAATAAATCTTTCTTAAGAAATTAGCTCTTGTTGTATAACCACTAACAAATTTTAACCTGACACACTATTATTCTATATTATTTTTTAATATTGCATTAAATTATTTATCTATCCACACTCATAGAAAAATAATATAAATTAAAAGCAAAAAAATTTTAAACTCATTTTTGGTGGTAGACTAGGTTATAACCTTCTTCAATGGTTATAAAATTATGTTTGAGTAATATCAAAAATAAACCATTCATCAAAAGAATTGGCGTACAAAATGTAATATTAATCCAACAGGTGGTTAACTACAAGATAATATACTAAGTGAGTATCTAAACAAATCAAATAAATAAGTATATTAGAATATTTCCAATAATTTTAAGTTTTTGTGAGGTTATAAATCACGGATGAAAATGGCAATGTAAAATTAGGCTAATTCACAATTTAGATAATATTTTTCTCCTGACAACATCCAGGTACGGTGGGACTTTATATAACACGATGATAAAATTGCGACTAGTACAGTGGAAACCCAATTATCCAGACCCGTATGTTAAAATATTTTTTATACATTTTTCACAATTCTCAATGTATATTAATTTTTTATTTTAAGTTCATAATTCAACTATGACCTTTTATTCGTCTCAAAAAATTCGTAAACACCACAGGAAAAAAAAAAAAAAAAAAAAAAAAAAAAAAAAAAAAAAAAAACAACTTAAAAGACTGGAAATTTCTGTGTCTTGTTGATGTTGGCTTCCATCAAAACGGTTTTTTTTATTAAACATTTTTTTATGTATAAATTTTTTGCGAAACGTGTGTCCAGACATAAACAAAAGGGGGGCATTTTTAAATTTGTTTGGCGACACCGTCATGAGATTAATTATTCCGTTAACATACTTATTAATTAATCCACATACAATTTTAATTATCGTTTCCTTGTGCCCAACTCGATAATTATGACAAAAGCCCTTTCCGTACAACATAAAACATCCAAATACTAATCTAGTAACATAAAACCGTGGAATAAGGTTAATAAAACAAAAATGCAAGTAAAAACGATAATTCAATTGTTGTATATTTTAAATTTACTACCTTATAAGTAAGTTTTAAATGTCTCGCTGAAAAATATCTCGGAGGGTTGAAGGCGACGTACTCAGCGTCGTCTGCAAGGATCGCATGACACATGTTCTCCCGGCAGTATGCAATTACCTGGAAATTCACAAAAAAAAAATTAATCCTTTGAGTAAAGGATGTTTATTTTTCGCTTTACTTCTTGTTTGTGATCTTCCATTGTGACAACAACCGGTACGTTTAGGTTCCTCAGAACCATCCTCAGCGTTGGGCGGAGGCAGGAAGGCGGGATCCACCATATTTTCGGCGGCGGGGTCCCCTTCATTGACAGATGCCTCAGGACGTGATTGATTCTCTGCCGGTTTCTAAACTGTTTCTGGATCCATTCTTCAGTCCTCTGCGGCTCGGTGCAGCCGTTGAAAAATACGGCCAGGTCTATTTTGGCGAGGTTGAGCGATGAGACAAGCTGGCCAAGGAAGGTCGTGACACGATTCCACTGACCGCCGCAGACCCAGTCAGAAAAGTAACCACCGTAAAGACGGTCCAAGCAGCATTCAGCATCAACTACGATGCTGAATTTGATGTTCTGCCCCTTCTTTTGAGGGTTTTTGACGAGCCATTTGGCGGCCTGGGATCTCGCTATCCTAACAAGATCGACACCAACACACGAACCCTCGATATGGCTTCCTTCAAGAAAAACCTGAAGGTCTTGGATGCCCATGGCGTAAATAACTTCTTATTTTTATCAGCTTCAGAACATAAATCTAAAAATAATAATAAAAATAAATATAAGATAATTGTGTAAATGCATAATTATTAACCAGATGAAAGGCAGGCCAAGACGATCGGTAATGGCCAAAAGTACGGGGTCAACACTAGAGGGGGTGAAACTCCAACCCCGCATCCTAGCAGTGCCCGCCCCCTGAGAAATGCTGGTCAGCGAGGAGTTAAGTCTAACCGAACAGAGGTTTTTAGAGGGATCAGACGCGAGAACACTTTAATGGTTTCACAGGATTTAACTGCTCTTGAACCCAATTTCACAGACATGGACAAATAGCAAGAGGCCAATCTGCCCAAAAACCAGCCTGCAATGAGGGATCAAGAAATGCAGACAGAAAAAGAAAATGAAGGCAAAGGATTCGGGGACTCTTCACAGAGGCCTACCTGACTTGTTATTGTCACTCTAGAATATCCCACCCTTGACAGTTGAATGACTAGATGCCATCCATGAGTAGCTATTGGATGGTAGAGGATTAAGATATGGTGAGATACTTCTTGAATTTTTCCAACACGTGCACTGTTAAACTTAATGTCAAATCCAAAAAAGAACCCAGTGAAACCTGTGGCTGCTCCTCTGAAGGGGTTGAAAAGCTTGCAAAATGAGAAAACATACCAACCCCAGGAGTGTTAGGGGAGCAGGAAAAAGCGGTAACACTTAAACCAAAAACAAAAGGGACAGTATACAAAGAACAGATTAGAAAATCCCCTTCCCTTACCAGAAGGACAAATCGTGGTAAAATTGGCCACCCCCAACTGACAGGAAAAAAGCGAGGGGGCCAAAAGCAGCAGGCAAGCACTGGAGTGTGTCCAGATGAATTTATATTACAGTCGGCAGCTGTCGACCTAAGCCATCTTTTCACCTGTAAAACCTAAACATTGCCCTAATCCAGTAACCTTGTGTAAGGGGGCATGGTGAAAAGGATACCATTAAATATAGATAAATTGGTTTACTTTAGGGATCATGAAAAACCCTAGATCCGCCCTAGTGAAGTTTTTATCTGTTCCAGAATATACGAGGGGGCCACAAAAGCACCTCCAGAGCAAGTAAAAAAGTTCACTAATAACGCCATACCAGCTGGGGCAGCACCGGTAACAACCAAAGGGATGAGTCTCTCTTTGAATACTTGCTGACGAATAACAGCAGAGAGTAATAGAAGAAACAAACAAAGACTGAGGTCTTAGATCTCACACTAGCAAGATCAATAAAATCATAGGTGGCATGTCTCCTCAAAACCATCTATTTCCGATTCATAGGATCATAAACTCTGTGATGGAGGCAAATAAACCGGTTTACGGTTTACAGAGAACCAGTAGCTCTTTCAAGACTCAAACTAGAGAGTAGAGACAGAAGGGTTGAATATTACAGTTTAAAAAATACAGGAACTAAATCAACTGGCCAAAAGGTTGACTTAGGCAATCACTACAGCCTATGAAAGCTGTAGCTCTTTAAAAGCCAAAGGGACAAATAGAGATGACCCATGGTGGAATCTAACGGAATATAGTGATACCCTTCAGAGGTGAGGATGTGAGCCTCTTCCTGCAAAAGTGTATGCAAACGGTTTTCGAATTACTGACTGTCATGTCCAAAAGGTAAAAATAGAGGTCATCAACGTACAGCAATCAGTTATTCTTGTTATATTGCTTTCTATGCCTGATTTACAACAAGTCACATCCCAGGACTAAGGAATTTTTTCAACTGTTCCGCATTGAAACTTGAAATAAGAATGCTTTCTACAGCGAGCTTTACAGTTGAATCAAGGCGTCTTTTGAGCTTAGGGATAGGGAAGGGGATAAAAGAAGCGGCCACAAGGCCTTCAGTACCTCGACCTGTGTAGACCTATTGTGCTCCCCTGTTTTTATCACTCACTGGCCACTTTCAGATTGTTAATCAGCCTCCATAACATTGCCAGTGGCTCCTTAGTTTAAGATCTTGCTTGCTGTTTTTCCTGTCCTAGTTGCAAGAACCTGCATCTACACCTTCACATCAACAAAATGTGCGGTATCCTACTCTACCTGGCAGTACCGGCACAGAGTTCTTCTCTGCCTGTACTCCTATCCACTGCATATGCTTTCTTAGGTGGCACTGTCCTGACAGGAGTCCAACCAGAATCCTGGTTCAGTTGAGGTTGCCTTTCAGTAATTCCTTTGTAAGTTTTGCGTGTGGCCCTTCTAAGAATCTTTTTGCATATACCTGCAGTACTGTTCCACCAGGTTTTGGACTCATTAAGGATCCATTTTAAGACTTTTGTGGCAGGATGCTAAACCACAGTAGGGTTCATGACCCATTCATCTTGGCTCCCTCTTTGGCCAACAAGTCTACCTTTTCATTGCCTCTATGCGCCGAGTGCCCAAGGACCCATGCCAGGGTCAGGCTATTAGTGTCGCTGACATTCGTCAGGGCCTCCATGCAGTTCCAAACACTCTTTCCTTTCCTTCGCATGTAGGCTGTAGCATATTTACCTAAATTTACAAGCATCTGATCTTTCAAATCGAAGTTTTCAGACAAATTGACAAAGCTCCTCTCTAACCACACTATCCGAAATGATGCCAAGATATCCAAAAACCCATCCACCATTCCAATCGTCCTCAGAAAAATTGTCAACTATGTCACAACGACCTCAACATTCCTTTCATCAAGGAACCGATCCATTCCCAATTCCAAAAGTTCCCACCAACCTCTCGACCCGTCCTAACCTACCAAGTCCTCTCTGCACACTCCCTCCCTGAGAACCCACAGTGAGTAGAACCATGTAGTTCTGCCAAAATTTCCCACAACCTATCCAACCCTTCCAATCAAAAGTCCTCAGACAAATCGTCAAAACTATGTCACGACCTCAATATTCCTTTCGTCAACATACTGAACCATTCCCGATTCCAAGAGTTTCACACCAACCTCTCCATCCGTCCTAACCTACCCACTCCCAACCCGAGAGCCGACCAATTAATTGACGATAGCCCGAGACCTTCATCCTTCCACTGAGTGCCAGCACCAGCCTGTTTCTCATGTGGCATGGCCCTACAGGACTAGCATTAGTGATGTGACCATTAAACAAATTGAAATCACATTTGTAATATGTACAAATATGTATAGGCTGCAAATATTAAATTTAAGATTTTTTAAAAAGATTTCCAATAACTGTGTTTTTCCTGAGACATTAAGATCGACTTCGACCGAATTTGACATATTGTCCATTTTAGACTGATCGGCATTGGAGTGGCCGTTCAGTGTTGAATCTTTCCCCTTTTTAAAATACCGTTTAATTGTATTTGTGTGCTGTCTAATAATAGAGGTGGTTTAATCAATAAAAGATAGGTTAAGGGGTGGTCGCGTGGTTTTTATCTTATTTAATCGTGTGAGGACTAAATATAAAAAATCGGTTTTATTTACAATTCGGGTCTTCAGTGGTTTTACCTCAAGTCCGAGGATGCCGGCGGGTCGTTGAAGTGCCGAAGGCTCGGTTCTCCGGCTGTCCTGCACGTCCGGCGTGGCGCCGTTCCGTCCCGCGTCGACTCGATCCGCGGCCGGAAAATGTAGAGTCAGTGAACGCCGGCCATGCCGACGTCTAGGCTTCTTGGATGAGAAATCGTCGGCGGGGGGAGCCTTTTCGTTGGGTTTTACGATATTGGGTTTAGGGTCGAGAAATCGGTTTATTGGAAGTCTCCGAACCTGGGGTACTGTCGGCCGTATCAATGGGGAAGGCTCAGGGCAGTGGTGATGAGGTACCCAACTACACCCCGTTTTCCCGCAAAACTATTAACAATAACATCTTCAAAATAGACTCAAAAATCTTTTTTAATTGTTAATTTTTGACTTTGTATCATGTAACACAAAAAAATTACTTGAAAAAAAAAATTCTGGTGGAAAAGGCACGGAACGTAAACCATCCAAAATGTGGAGGGGGCGTCTAAAAGTCCCTACATCTATATCATCTAAGCTAGGTTTTTCTTTCTACCCGTTACTTAGTCCACGCGGGGCTCTTTTAATGTACCTTTCTAATGAGGTGCACACTGCAGAATGCTGACTTTCTAATATAATTTATCGTTTCTCAAATTCTCATATTCAGTTCACTTCATCTATAAATGGTAAAAAATTGTCTGTAGGATGGAATTTCAAGAAATCCTTTCTTAGCTGCTATCCATGCCATTGTAGGAATGTAATGTAAAAATTTCATCCTTTTAGATCCAGCGGTTTGGTCAGTGCGTGCACACAATATTCCGCCATAGACCAGCTCACGCTATGCATTCACGCTAATAAATACATTCTATTTCAAGTCATCCAAGAGTCAGAACAAGGGGCCCAGATACACGCTGCCATTGTGGGGGTGGCATTCTCACGCGCTCACTATATGGAGCCAAGGGATTGCACCCTTCAAATAGGTGGGATTGAGAGCTTTCCCCAAAAGGTTTAAGAAAAGAGCTCAATCTCTTCGCAATTTCTTCACCCCCGTTATATAACTAACCTAATTAAAAATTCACTATTCCGCAATAAATACATTCACCCTCAACAATCATCCAAGGATCAAAACCGGGGGGGGGGTATAATTGCGGAGGGGCGCTCCGTCTCTTTGCAGTTTCAATGTAAATCGAGAAAATATCATTATACCAAAAAAATAAATAAATAAAAATATAAATAAAAAATAAAACAAAACGACTGCAGTTTGACTTAAATATAATAAAATATGAGTTTAAACTTAAAAATCGAGTTGAATTATTTAGAAAATATTTTAAAATTATGATGGAATTTGATAGATTTTTATTTGTTTCAGAATCAGTTCAATGATGGGAATCTGAATGGATGAATATTGGAGACAACAAACTAAAAAAGATAAAAGACAGCATTCACCCCTGGGAAACTTCTTATCAAACGAATAGGAGGGAAGAGGTTATCATCTACCGACTCAGAATTGGACACACAAGAATAACACACGGGTTCTTAATGGGAAGGTACTGACCCTCCTGTCTGCCTATGTGGTGAACGCCTAACCATCGAACAAATCTTGTGCCCCCCAAGGAACTGCCAACGGTTTTACACATCTTCCTTACACCTCTCACTTAAACAACTCCTACACGATAAGCAGCAAATGGTTGACAAAGTCATCGGGTATCTAAAAAAAATAAAACTATACAACTATATATAACATTAACACACAAATAACATAAGCAACAAAATTCGGCTTGCTGTACGCGCTTCACAGAAAAAAAAAAAGAGAAAAAAAATCAGTTCAAATAAAAAACCTTTCATTGTTTGACATTTGAAGTGTTACAGAGAAAAATTGTGGTCAGTTTTAAGGATAAGTTTAAGAAAAAAATTGTTTTTTTGTCGAAAAAACACATGTTCAGACTGTAATATGACGGTTGATTTTTTTACCTTTCTTTTTTTTCCCGATTTCGATAAAAACGCGTTTTAAAATATTTTTTTTCCTCTTATTACCCTGTCGTATCGAGTTTTGTTGAATTTATTTGTGGATATTGTTTGTTTGTTTTTTTTCCTCCTTGCCTGAAGAGACTTGTTAAGGTTATAAACATGACGGGCGTTTGAGAGGGAAACCTTCCGCCGGTTGATATATCCATACTTCCGTCTCTAGCAAGTCGGTGAATTATTTATTATAGTTTTATCGTTTATTGTTTGGTGTCAAAAGATTTATACATAAATATAAACTATATATAAGAAAGGAGGAAGGTGAAGTAGTTGAGGGAATTCCGAAATGTCCGGGAGGAACGAGTGCCGGGTGTACGTCGGGAACCTCCCGCCGGACATCAGGACGAAGGACATCCAGGACCTATTCTACAAGTTCGGCAAGGTCGCTTTCGTCGACCTCAAGAACCGTCGGGGTCCGCCGTTCGCGTTTGTCGAGTTCGAGGACGCCCGGGACGCGGAGGACGCGGTCCACGCCCGCGACGGCTACGACTACGACGGCTACAGGCTCAGGGTCGAGTTTCCGAGGAGCGGAGGCCCGAGCGGAAGGCGCGGCCCTTCGTGGTCCTATTCGAAAAAAGGGCCGGCCCGCCGGTCTCAGTTCAGGGTCCTCGTCTCCGGCTTGCCAGGGTCGGGATCCTGGCAGGACCTCAAGGACCACATGCGCGAAGCCGGCGACGTCTGCTATGCCGACGTCTTCAAAGACGGCACGGGCGTCGTGGAGTTCCTGAGGTACGAGGACATGCGCTACGCGTACAAGAAGCTAGACGATTCGAAGTTCAGGTCACATGAAGGCGAGACTTCGTACATACGTGTCAAGGAGGACTACACAGGACCGAGGGAAAGCGAGGAGCGGTGCACCGATGACAAGTGGTCACGAGGAAGGAGGCGCACTCCTACCTATTCGCCCGTCAGGCGTAACGAGAACAGAGGCTATGCCCAACACTCGAGGTCCCGCTCAACGTCAAGATCCTGAAGAGACTGTAGAACTTACAATTTTTTTTCATTTTTTCTTTTCTTATCAATCAAAATATTTAGTTCTTTGTTGAATTAATCCATTAAAAAAAGTTTTTTCTCTTAAAAAAAAAAAAAAAAATCAATAAAAAAACATTTATTATTCTTTCTTTAATCTATCGATAAATATAAATTTAATATACCGTAAAGGTTTTCCAAGTTGTTCATTTAAAATAAGAACAAAAAACCATGGTGCGCTATAATCAAATCTAGTCTTGTCCAATTTTCGCCGCAGCATACAATTTTGAACGTGACCTCATAGCTTTTTTGATCTGTTCTATCAGGAACAAGATTTCAAAATTTTATGTACATATGTGTGTATTTTTTTCCGGGTGTCAAGCCTTAAAGAGTCGATATAAAATTTCAACTGCTGGCCGAAAAAAAAAAATCAGGGAGCCTTCAGGCCAAACCATTATAGGCCATACGAGGCAAATACGGCACACTATTAATTTTTTTATTAGTTCTTAAAGACTCGGTATAGCGCCTTTTTTTTTTATCTTCAATGGTGCAATCTTTGATTTTTGTTGGCCTACAAAAAACAATTAAATTTTTTATTTTTTAAGTGTTAGGTGATGCCTGAGCGAGCTTCGAGTCAAACCGTCAGGTCAATCATGTGAAATGCAGTGATCCATAATTTTTTTAGGTCAATCAAGTCAAACACAAAGACCTGTCTTTTTTTTATAAGGCTTCTTTTCCCCCCAATAATCCAAATATTTGACTAGTAGGTGAAGTTTGAGTGGGCCTTCGAGTCAAACCGTCATAGGTCAACCATGTCAAATATGCCTTAATATTTTTATTTTATTTTTTTTCCACAAAGACCTGTATAAAGCTTTTTTGCCCGATAATCCAATATTTGACTGATGTTAAAAAAAAATTATAATTTTTTGGGGATTTCAAATTGAACCATCACAGGTCAATCAATTCAAAACTGGCATGCTATAGTTTTTCCCTCATAAAAACCACTATAAGACTTCTTTTTTCCTAATTTATCCAACATTTAACAATTGTCAGCAAAAAAAAAATTTTCTTTTTTTTTAGGTGTTAGGTGAAGTTAGAGTGGGCCTTTGAGTCAAACCGAACCTTAACAGGTCAATCAAGTGGCTACAATTAATCTGGTACGCCATTTTTTTTTTGCCAAAAAAACCACTAATTGTTCTTTTTTCACAATTAACACAATGACTGTTGTCAGTAAAAAATAAATATTTTTTGGTTTGTTTTTGAAGTGTTAGGTGGAGCCTGGTTCGTGTCAAATATGGTGTGCTGTAATTTTTTGCCTTCCCTCTGATCATCCAATCTTTCGTTGTCGTTGGCCAACAAAAAATAAATTGGAACAAATATTTGTATAATGTTTTTTACAATATGGCATGCCATAATTTGTTTGTTGATAAATCTTTTTTTCCTCCTCAATAATACATTATTTGACTGTTGTTGGCTAACAAAAAAATATACAATTGTTTTTTTTAATATTAGCCAAAGCTTGAATGGGCCTTCAGCCTTCAAATCAATATGGTGCGTCGTATTGAAGTCAGATAATAAACCGACCAAGAGCTTAATAAAAAAAAATTGGGATCAAAATGAAAAAAAAAAAGTTTCCTTCAAGTTAGTCTTGATGCTTCCATTTTCAAAAGGTATCAACTACAGATACGTACCCAACATAGTACAATTGTAGCTTTATTATTATTAAGAGTATAATTTTGGGTCGTTGTGGTTTAACGTTTGTTCAAGTGTAGTGACAGTTTAAAAAAAAAATATATATACACTCATCAGATGAGAGATTTCGTATAATATATACATGAATTTTAAATAAGTTTATATTTTGTATATTGTAAGATAAATAATAATAATTTTTAAAAAAACATCAAAAATTCTATATTTATAAAAAATTTCCTCACCCTCCCCAAAAAAATTACCAGTTTTAGACACAAATATTACGACCTGTTAGAAGTAAAGGAAAAGTTCCACAGGCAACATAGAACTGATCCTGGTTGTGCTTTAATGCCAACCTGATAACATAACTAGCAACACTCAACAAAAATATTACCGAATCATTAAAAAAACCGAGTAAAAATATTTTTCTATTAACTTGAAATATATTTTCTTGATTTATAATAGTTTATAAATTGTTTTTCTGTTATATTTTTTATAGTCTTTCTTTTATATAAAATCGTAAAGGTTCTTACATTTCTTTCTTCTATGGACTGTCGATAGACATGAAGGCTGTTTTCCCATAAAAATCGTATTGTCATGACCTTGAAATCAGGGAGTTAAGTTGGCCTTTGTGATTATTTTTCACATAAAATGATAAAGATGATAAATTAACCATAAAAAAAAAATCAGTGTATAAAAATATTTCTACTCTTAAACGACAGTAGAATGAACCTTAACTTTTCCCATAAAAATCATATTGTCATTACCTTGAAATCAGGGAGTTAAGCTTGTTTTTGCAATTATTTTTCACGTTCGACGATAAATTACTCTCCCCCCCCCCAATAAAATCAGTTTATAAAAGTTTCTATTCTTAAATGACAGTAGAATGGACCTTAAGACTGTTTGTCCATAAAAATTGTATTGTTATCGCTTACAGTCTCATTTTATGCTGTTGTACACCGTTCTCACCACATTTGTAATATGCAAAGCTAAACGCTTGAAAATAAGGAAAGGTTATGAACTGAGGAGTTTACAATGTATTAGAAATTTTTTAAAAATTAACGAAAATGTTACAAACTTAATTGTAAATAATTAATATTAATGTTTTACATTTTGTAAACTCCTGCTTTCAGTCTCATTTTATCTTGTGGTATAACACCACACCCGCTTTATTTGCCAAGCAGTGAATATTAAAAAAGAAAGAATCAGGTTATGAGTATGAGGAGGTAACAATGTATGAGAAAAAGGCGTACTGGGGAAGATTAAAAGGAGGTAAGGATGTTCAATTTAAAGAAAAAATAATTGGTAAAAAAAATCCACCTAATAAAAAAGGCCTATTATATATTTTTATTAACAAATATTTACAAAACCGATGCATCGTCCTACGGCTAGAACTTGAGGCTGAATCCTGGCCCGCCTTGCAGCTGGGTCCTTTCGTCGATCCCTCCCATCCTGAATCCTTCGTCCGTGTCTTCGAGCTGTTTGTAATCCCTACCGCCTGACGGTGGTTTCGGGCTGCACACCTTTTTCACTTTGCTCCCTTCGGACTTGGCCGGCCAGGTTGGGAACATGGCCGGGTCGATCGCGAGCGGCGTCTCCCTGAAATACTCGTGAGCGAGGCCTGTCTCCGCTGTAAACCTCGTCGCTGGGTTATAAGTCAAAAAACTAAAAAATAAATTTTGTTAATAAAAAAAATGGATTACAAAAATGTTTTCTCTTACCCGTTTAATAAGTTAAACCCGTGCTCAGAAGGAAGGATGCGGAAGCAGCTTCTGAGCGTTGATACGGGGAACTCTGTGAAGTTCATTTTCTGCACGGCGGGAAGCTTATTGTAACCGGGCCAGATGCGTTCATTTGGCGTGCCGAGTGTTTTGAAGATCTTGTTCAATTGATCCTGCTCGGATTTGCCCGGGAACAATGGCTCCATGGTCATCAACTCACTGAATATACAACCGACCGACCACATGTCAATTGGCGTCGAATATTCCTTGGCGCCTAGGAGAAGCTCAGGTGCACGGTACCACCTCGTCACCACAATCGGGGTGTACGGTTTCAAAGGTGACCCGTACTCCCTGGCGAGGCCAAAATCACCAACCTTCAATATGCCCTTGTGCGAGAGGAGGAGGTTGGATGCTTTTAGATCCCTGTGGAGGATCCAATTGTCATGGAGGTGGGCGACCGCTTTGAGCAGCTGCTGCATCAGGCACTTCACCTCGCCGGGGACGAACGCCTGCTTCTTCGATTTCATCGTCTCCATGAGCGATTTAAGGTCGTGTTCAACGTAGTCCATAACGATGTAGATTTTATCCATATTACTACCTACGACTATTTCCCGTACTGTGACTATATTCGGATGTTGCACCTAAAATATAAATAAATAAATAAAACACACTTACACACATACACACACACACACAAAATCTACCTTAAGCAAAGTGTTGATTTCACGTAATGAAGTTATAGGAAAGCCTTCTTTTTCCTTTTCCATTTTGAGCCTTTTCAGGGCGACGATCTGCTCCGTACGCTTATCGATGGCACGGTACACGACGCCGTACGTGCCTTCTTCTATTCTGAAAATTAAAAATTTCTCTATAATATTTTTTAAAAAAGTTTTGGCTGAATTATAAGTGAAGTAAGAGAGAAGGACCTATACGATTTTAACAGTGTATTTTTTTATTTTACGAGGGATTGTAACATGGGGGGGGGGTGAAAAAAACATTTGTAAGTATGTCGGGTTCGAATGCAGGGCTGCTGGAGTCAAACCCAGGACATTTACCTTACAGTGCCAAGGCCTAAACCGTTGCAGTCACTGAAATCCTTTTTTTTTTTTTTTGAATTTTTTTTTTTTTTAAATAGTGTAGAAAGAGGGTAAATGCAACAATATTGCATATTTAAAGGATTTTTTAATGTAAAATAGCATTTATCGCGCAAAATATTATAATATAATATACTAATGCATTTACGTTTAGTGGTCAATTGACCAAGTTACTTCTTTCAATTAATTATTTTATTTGAACCAAGACTTTACATAGAGATGTGAATATAAATTTTGAAGTATTTCATACTAACATAAAGTGTGTGTGGTGCCATAATGGTTTTGGGTGAAAGTGTGAAATGTTAATTTGTGTTCTGCTGTTTTTATACAATTGTGACAGGATGGAGGAGGCGGTAAATCTGGGAAATTTTCTTTGATCACAGGCATCTTTTATTTAAGTCAAAGGACGTCGAGAATGGGGATTTTCTGGATTGGATTTGTGATTCTACATTCAATATTGGAAAGGAGGTTTATTAAGGATGATAAGAAAGGAAAGGGAAAAATAAAATTAAGGTTTGATAGTTTATTTATTTTATGATGTTGGCGTAGCTACCGCTGAATTGACACACTTGTAATAAGACAAATAGATGGCACACTAATTATAGATTGGTACCAAAAATCAATGATCGCTACCTCAATTTTATATCGCACTACCCCTTATAAACAATAGTAAGCACGGCTAAAGGATTATTACACAGAATCTTATCTCTGTCATGAATCCTATCACCTAAAAAATATTTAAACATACAAACTAATCTTACCCAGCACTACACAAAACATCATCTTCCTATGAAGATAATTTTGAAAATACCCGCCAGCCAGTATGACGCGTAATAAAAGGATAAAAGGGAGAAGAAAAAGAGGAGAGGGCCAGGTAGGACTGTGCATTCGAAGAGACGATTTTGGATGAAAGCTGAAGATTAAAAAATGAAAAAACAAAAAGCGAAATGAAGAATAAGAAGAGCCATCAATATTTGTCTCCGAAAAATAATTTTTTCCTCCGTTGTTTGTTTATACGTATTGCATTGTACTGAAGTCAAATCATTTTATTTTATTTTTAATTGTTAAATTAGAATTAATACTGGTGATCGCTCAATTTTTCAAAAGGTCATTTTTATTTTAGTTGTTTTCCAATTTTTGTTATTGGCAAAGGGTTTAATTTTATTTTCTATTTTCAATAAATTATTAGTTTTTTCTAAATGTAGTTATTATCATTTTGACCACTAGTTCAGTTCTTGAAATTCTTTTCTTTCAGTTGTTTTTTTTACCTATTTCTTCTACTTGAGGGATCCACAAGATAATAGCAATGCTGAACTCCACAGTACACACCACATCATCAACACAATCGTAAAAAAACAAACCAATATACATGTCCATTCCATTAATCCACACATTGTCACACAAATTAAATAAATTTCTCTCCTCAGAACACATTAAAATAGCTTTTAAAAACCATAAAACCGTACACACTTTTTTTTAAGTCAAAGAGCCAATATCAACAGCTTAGAAATCCAATGATATTAATTGAATTAATTAATTGAAAGATATTAATTGGTCAAGCGGACCACGAAAAATAGTGAATTAGTCAAGCGGACCACGAAAAACAGTGTATTTCATAAAATTAATTGTATGAACTGTTTAGCAACATGCATTGGAGTTAAATTGCAATATCTAGAAAAAAAAGGAAAAAACAATGCATCTTTTGTTTTCTTGCGTAAAACACCAAAAATCTTCAACAATACAACTTTGATTTTGACAAAATACAAATACTACACACAGAATATAAAACAAATACAAACACAACTTTCTAGAAATGTTGAACTAGAACTTAACGTAGAAACTTAAAAACTTAATTAATTGAATGTTATTAATTGGTCAAGTGGACCACGAAAAATAGTGAATTTCTAGAAATGGTTTACATCAATAGAGACACAGAGCATTAACTACAGAACAGATACATGCAAAACTCAGCCATAGTTACGCCAACATCATAAAACAATAAACTATAAAACTTTATTTTTATATTTCTATTTCTTCCGTTATCATCTGTAATAATTAACTTCTTTTCCAATACTGAGCCCCGAATCACAAATCCGATCCAGAAAAATCCCCTTTCTTAACTTCCTTTAAAATAAAACCGCCTGTGATCAAAGAAAATTTCCCAGATTTACCACGTCCCCTGTCACAATCGTATAAAACCGGCAGAATACGAATTCGCATTTCACACAAAACCAATATGACACCACAAGAATATGTATTGTCAATTTATTGACAAACATATGCAGATAATGTTCTCTTGGTTGTTATCAGGGATGTGGTCAAAGAAAAAAATGTTGAATTTTAAATATTCGCCTAGCTTTAGGAAATTTATTGTACCTTCTTCAGGGTTCTACAAAAGGATATGTTATAATTGGACACATTTTAATTTTGGCCAATTTAACATCAAATATATAAAAGCAAAACACATTTTTGTACTTACTGATTTTTAGTCAGAAGTATATAAACTTAAATTCTTTTATTTTCATGTTAAAACTGAAAACCTTTTCACTTTTTTCTTCACCTTTTCAACTATGAAATGACTAGACTAGTAATATAATACCACAGTCTAGTCATTCTGAAAGGTAGGCAAAATTTTAAAATTAAAAATATTTACTTCGGCCACATCCCTGATAACAACTAAAAGAACATTAACCACAAGAATAACACACTTTATGTGAGTATGAAATACTTGGTTCAAAATTCATATTTACATCTTAAATTGTATTTTTTTCCAATCACGGTATGCTTTGTAATTATACAGGCCGTGAAGATGACCAGAATAAAGGTCGAAACATCGGCAAAAAAATTAAAAAGGCGTTTTTGTAAATTACCTCATTCTTGACCACTCATCATGACTTTGACAAACAATACAAAAATTAGCTTTTTGTTTAAGAAAAATATGTTACCGATTTAGACACTGAAATTCCTCGACACTCCGACAGCCTTGAATCGCCGGTAAGTATGGCGGTAGGGTGTCTTTTTCAAGTTCCATTTCTTCTTCGCCATCGTGCGCCACTTCAGGTAGAGGTGGCGTGTCGTCCTTGGGACTTACGACCGGGCTCGTGTCATCCTCTGTGTCTTCGGCTGTGCCCTCATCCTCTTCGTCTTCGTCCGTTATCGAAGAGGTCGAGCTCGTGTCAGTGTCAGATGAGTCACGATTGCCGTTCTTGCGTGGCTGGCCCGAGTATGATTTGGGCGGGGTGAGCTGACGCACATCCTTGGCTGGTTCCTGAACCTGGGCTGGCACGTTAGCGTCTTCCTCTTCGAGCCCGGTGTCCATAATGATTGGTGACCTCGACTCATCGGATACAACAACTAGGCCAGCCCTTTCCATCTCCGCCTGAGCAGCGGCTGCCTGCGCTGCCGCCTCAGCCTGTTCCGCTTCTATTTCAAAAAAATAAATAAATAAATGAATAAAATAAAAATAAAACTATAAAATAAATAAATAAAAAATCATACCGAGTTTTCTTTCTCGGCTTCTACTTCGTTCCCTTGCTTCTCGGCGCATCCGACGCTCCTCTATGTCCTTTTTAAAAGACTCCTTCACCCTTTCGGCCTCCATGAGGCGCTGACGGCGTAATATGATCTCCTCATTTTCCTTGTCACGCTCTTTAGTTAGGTGGCGGCGTTTTTCAAGTTTGTCGCGCAGGTCTCGCTCGATCTCTCGATTCTTGCGTGCCGTGTCTTCACGCTTCTGCCTCTCTTTCTCATCTCGCAGCCTCTGCTCCTCGACGATACGCAGTTCTTCGATCCTCGTCCTCTCCCTTTCCTCGCGCCTGGCCATCTCTTGGCCTCGCCGCCTCGAGTTGCGCATCATCTCCTCCCTGCTCCTCATCTCGTCCTTGATCGACATCCTCTCCCTATGGTGATGATGGCGGTCCTCGCGGTGCGAGTGCGTGTGATGACGCTTTTTCCTGTGCTCCGATGAAACCTGCTTATACAAAAATAACACTGTTTACACAACCAAATAAAAAATTATTTTAAAAAACTTACATGTCGTTTCGTAGACGATGAATGTTTGCTCTTCCTCGGCCTTTTATGTGCGTGCGCCTGCGGAGGTTTGATCTCAAGTGGATCGACTGTCTCCTCATCAGAAAGACTGAAAAAATATAAAAATGAAACTTTTCCGCATAAAACACACCTAAAGTTATTTTCATTCTAAACAGTCATATTTATTACATAAAACAATGTTTAAAAGATTTTTTTTTACTCAAAATAGTTTAGGACAGGTTATTAACGACCAGGTTAACCGTACAGACCAACCGTCTTTAATTAATTTCGTATAGACATTTCCGAACGTAATACAAAGGAGAAATAAAGTCGTGAGGTTGAGAACCGAAAGGTTTTTCTTTTTAGTTTATTTTCAGTGTTAAAGAAAAATGTATAAATATCGAGATAATAGGAGAAAAACATCATAACAACCTCAGAGATTCCAACGAAGGCTCCTTGTGGAGTACCGGAGATTTCTTCAGCTCCCCGTCTTCCATGTGATCGTCGTCTTCCATCCCAAAAGGATAAACTAATGTTTCGAAATAATTAACTTATAATTAACTTATTTAACTACTTCATCAGAAATTCTAGATCGATTCTATTCACTATTGACTGACCGCGAGCGTCGGCGGGTGAACTGTGAAAGGTTACTGCGATGCATATTTGTTGGAAAGACGACGCCGCCTCGATCTGCCGCCATTAACGTCACCAATGACGTCATTAACGAATAAATCAAACATTTTTTATTTCTTTTAATTAATTTTTAGTCATTTATATGTCTTTCAAATAAATCTAGTACAAACAAACAATTTATACGAAAATACATTAACGAAAAATTTCGAATTATAAATCAAGTCGTTTACTTGGATATCGATTAGTTGGAAAGAAGACGCCATCTTGATTCGCAGCTAATACGTGTCAGTTATGACTTCACTAATGCCTTAATCTAGAACTTTATTTTCCCTTAATGAATTATTATTAGTATTTTCTAAGATTTTTTTAAATTTCCGTTTAAACTCGTATAAACAAAAAAATTTATATGAAAATACATTAATGAAAAATTTTGAATTATTACAATTAATTAAGGTTTTTAGTTGAGATAAAAAAAGTCAATGGCACGAGCGGGATTCGAACCCACGATCTTCGGCTTGATACGCCGCTGCTCTACCACTTGAGCTATCGTGACCTCGATCCTCTCGGACACTAACTTCCCAACTCACCCGCACCTTTTGAATTTTCCCGATTTTTTTCGAATCCCGCTCGTGCCATTGACTTTTTTATCTCAACTAAAAACCTTAATTAATTGTAATATATTAATTGGTCAAACGGACCACGAAATTAGTGAATTATGAATTATCTTTCATCAAGTCTTGGATATCGATTGGTTGGAAAGAGGAAGCCGTCTCGATCCGCAGCTAATACTTGTCACTTATAAAGTCACGAACCCCTTAACCTAGAACTTTATTTTTCTTTAATTAATTATTATTGATTTTTAAGTTATTTTTCGTTATTTCCGTTCATACTACCATAAACAAAAAATTGTAAGAAAATACATGAATGAAAATTTTTGAATGATCTGTCATTAAGTCGGTTACTTGGATATCGATTAGTTCGAAAGACGACGCCATCTCAATCTGCAGTTAATACGCGTTACTTATGTCGTCACCTAACCCCTTAACCTGGAACCTTATTTTTCTTTAATTAATTTTTATTGATATTTTTCAGTTTTTACCTTCGTTATTTCCGTTAAAACTGGCACAAAGAGAAAAATTTATATTCAAATACATTAATGAAAATTTAAAAAAAAGGTTATAAGTAAGTAGGATAACCTGACGTTTCAACCTAAGAGTAGAACTTTTGTTAAATGTTGTTTGATAAAATAATTAGTTCAGATTTACAAACAATTGTTTATTTTTGTAAAACAATTGAATTGAGGAGCTTGAGATTTTTTTTTTTTTTTGGGGGGGGGCTTTTTTTAGCAGCTGAATTGTCTTGGGATAGTCGGTTGTCATTTCTTCTGTCCCGATTGCATCTGATAATTGTGCTTGGTCGCACTTTGGCCCCAATTTCCCATTTCTATCTGGTCGGACATCTCCGTGTTCGTTGATTCGATAGAAACCCTCTTGTGCTTCTTAGCAAGCTGCTGCTGTATCTGGTCTAGGGTTTTGTTCTTAGTCTCGAGCATGAACCATGAGTATGTGAAACCGACCATGGTCGCCAATAGGTACAGGGTGAAGTTGCAGTAAACCCCGATCGACTTCCATATCATTATGAATATCTTGATGTAGACGAAGCTGCATATACCGCCGAAAACGAGTATCATGCTCAGCGCTTTGGCTCTTATCCTGACCGGGAGGAGTTCGTTCGTGACTAGGCCCGGTATCCAGAACAGTCCGATCCCGTACATGAAATTGTGGACCATGAAGATGAGAAGGGGTAGCTGGGGTGCTCGGTTGTCGTATAGGTCGTACTCGTGGGCCCAGAACCACCAAGAAAGCGCCGCCTGGAATACCATCGTGCCGAGAGTCGAGACTATCATGAAACTCTTCCTGCCGAACAGGTCGACGAGGCTCCCCGATATACATATCCCGGCGAATATGCAGCTGTTGAGTATGCAAGGGATGTACTTGGCCCGTATGAAGCTGGCCGGGAGGAGCTGGGCAGGGTAGACGAGAAGGGGAGTGTAGCTTGACCCCCTCTGTATGAAGGTGAGCAGTAAGCCCCTCATCATTGAATATCTGATCGCCGGGTCGACGAGAATGTCGCAATAGGACACGCCCTTTCCAACTGATACTTTCATTATAGCGTTCACCTAGAAAAAATGTAATATAAACAAATAGGCAACAAAAATTTAGTTAGGTTGTACAGTCTCAAAAAAATTAATTCAATTACCATAAACATATATAGATTATTGTTTAAAAAAATATGTTATACTAAGGTTACTTCGAATCATTTTAATCACTTTACCGTATCACTTTCATTTACTTAAAGGTTTCCTGTCTTAAAAAATGTTATAATAAAGTGGTAAAGTACGATAAAAGAGACATTTATGCTCTTAATATCATAAGCAGGCTATTAAAAGATTTTCCATTTTAGGAAGTAGGTTATATGAAAATGGTACAGTTTTCCTCGTGTAAAGCTTCTATAAATCTGGTAAGATACGGTACGATGTAAGAAATATTAATATAACCGATTTATGACTTGAAAAATCTTAGTAAAACTTTTTTAATAACCTTTTAAACTCACTATAACCTTCTTTTTTAAGATGTAAAGACTTCCTATAACCTAATTATGATTTGGGACATCTTCATGGCTTATAAAACCTTAGTTTAACTTATTAGACCCTTAGTTAGCAAAAATTTTAACTTAACTTTATCTAATACTGCATAATGTTAGACTAACCTGCTTATGACGTTGAAAAACCACAGCACAACCTTCTTTCTATAACTGGAAGCCTTTCATAAACCTGCTCAGTTATGGAAAGCGAGTTTAACCTTCTTTTCTTGCCTGGAAACCTCCCAATGACCCAGTTGTGAAATGGAAAATCTTAATCTAACCTTCTCTCTAGGATTGGAAAATGTTTGAGTGACCTGTTTATGATTTAGAAAAGCAAACATAACCTTTTTATACAATCGTCTTACTCCCTCAATAACCTTCCTTCCTAGGGTAGAAACCTACCTACAACCTGATTAAAATGTGGTAAATATTAATATGACGTGCTTACGACTTGGAAAACCTTAGAATTACCACTTTTAGTTACCTTTTAACCCCATAGTAACCTTTTTTTTGGGGGGGGGTTGGAAACTGTCCACATCTGTCTCACCTGATTATGATGTGAGAAATCTTTATTTTGTAGCACCTTAGTGAGGCCTTTTTTCCCAAACTGAAAGCCTTTCATAAAACTGCTCAGTTATGGAGTGCCTTGATTTTACCTTCTTTCCTGGGTGCAAACCTTCTTATAAATCTAGTTATGATGTGCGTGATATTAATATAACCTGCTCATGACTTGGAACACATAGTATGCCCTTTTTATGAAACCTATTTACCTTATTATAAACTAATAATATTATAACGTAGAGAAACCATAGTATAACCTTTTTATGCGACCGTTTAATCTCTCTATAACCTACTTTCCTAGGGTGGAAACCTTCATACAAAATCTGGTTATGATGTGAGAAATATAGATATAACCTGCTTATGATTTGGGAAACCTTAGTATAACATTTTTATGAAACGGAATAATTTAATAATTATATATAATTAATTATAACCCACTTTACTATGGAAGTCTTTCTATAACCAAGTTACCAAGTGGAAATCTTAAATTAACCTTATCTAATACTGGAAAATATTTAAGTTAGCACTTAAATAAACAGCTTACATAATCTTATGACGTAAAAAAACGTAGTTTAACTTTTTTTTATGAGAGTGTTTGGACTCATAACTTTTTTTCAATAACCCGATCGTGATTATGGAAAAACCTACTTTCTGAGGTTAGAAAATGTTTCGATTGAGGATGTTAAATAAAAATAGTTAATAACGTGTTTATACCAAACCTCTTCCTGTCGTAGTTTGACACCCCTCATCCTCCCCATTTCGTAGATGGCCTGGTCGACGTTGCCCGACCTTATGAGGAAATAAGGACTCTCCGGTACCGAGAAAAGGAACGGGTAGAGAGCTGCTGCTATTCCACCGGAGATGAACGCCTGGGTCTTGTAGTCCAACGCAGTGCTGATGACCGTCTCGATGATGGTGCCTAGTAGAAAGAAGGCGTTTAGGATGGAGGCCGACCTCCCTCTCTTCACCGGGTTGGTCAGCTCGGCGAGGAAAGTCGGCCCGTTGAGTATCGAGAAACCGAAATTGATCCCGGCCAGGATCTGCGAGAGGATGAAACCGGAGTGGGACCTGTAGTGGCAGATTATCCCCCAGACGACGAAGTGCATCCAGTAGAAAATGAGGAGGAGTTTCTTTTTACCGTATCGGTCCTGCATGAGGGCCGTCGGTACAACTATCAGGATCTGGCTCAAGTAGCTGAACGAAACAGCCCAGGAGCGTTGCTTAGGGGTGAGGAAGTAGTCGGCTTCGTGCCTCCTGAACTTGATCAAAGCCGTCGAAGGCCAAGCGACCGCCATCCCGTTAACCAGCGAAGAGAAACCGACTTGAAAACAAAAACAAATTAAAAAAAAAAAAAATTAAAAAAAAAAACGCTCACTTATCCCAGGCAATATGTCGTAAAGGGATTCACAAAGTCTGATATCCCCAGTTATGATGTTCACGAATGCTTCTTTCGAGACCATATTTCCAATGGATCAAAATTTTCAAAGAAAACACCACAAACCGAAAAAAAACAAGCTTCTATTAATCGGAATATCGGTAAGAAAGAGAGAAAAAAACGCACACACAAGAACACAAACAAAAAATCATATGGAATAGCCGGGTCTACACATGACAAATATACAATCAGCTACAATTTGAACAAACATTAAGCGCAACAGTTTACATATCTTGACTTGTCACTGTATAACGCAGAATCAAAATTTACCTAGTTATACATAATTTCCTTTTAAAAAAATAAAAATAAAGCAGGTTATACGAAGGTTACTGGTTTTGAAAATGTTAGAAATATGCATCATTTTAACCAGGAAAGTAGTTTAAACGAACCCTCTACTCTCTAATGTAATAAAATAGGTTACAAAACTTTTAAGCTACAGATTTTAGGTTTCAAGAATATTTATAAACCAGAAAAAAAGAATATACTAACACTTTAGACTCTACAATGTAGTAAAGTACGTTATGCCGAGGTTTACAAAGTATGTTGTACAGTGGATACAGGCATCATAAAGTAACTTATATCAAAATTGTATGGTCATAAAGTAGGATATAATATGGTTATGGTTATTATAAAGAAGCTTATAAGAACGTTATATAGTCATAAAGTTGGTTATACTGTGGTTATAGGTTTCCATAAAGCAGCTTATACAAAGGTTGTAGGGTCATAAAATAGGTTATACTGTGGTTATAAGTTTGTAAAAACGCTTATAACAAGGTCGTATGGTCATAAAGTTATACGTATCATAAAGCAGCTTACACCAAGGTTGTATGGTCATAACGTAGGTCAGACTATAGTTATACGTATCATAAAGCAGCTTACACCAAAGTTGTATGGTCTTAAAGTAGGCTATACTATAGTTATAGATTCCTAAAACATCTTAGAATCAGGTCATCAGTCAGGTCATCAAAAAGTAGTTTATACTACGGTTATAGGTATCATAAAGAAACTTACGACAAAGTTGTAAGGTCTTAAAGTAGGTTATACTCTAGTTATAGGTTTCAGAAAACTGCTTATACAAATGCCATATGTTTTATAAAGAAGGTTATACTATAGTTAAGAATTTCACAAAGAATCTTATACCAAGGTGAACGGTTTTATAAAGTACGTTATACTATTGTTATAGGTTTCCAAAAAGCAGCTTATATCAACGTTATCGGTTTCATAAAGTAGGTTATACTATGGATATAGGTACCATATAGAAGCTTAATTTTTATGGTCATATAGGCGGTTATGCTATGGTTATAAGTTTCATAAAGCAGCTTATACAAAGGTTATATGTTTCATAAAGTTGTTGTTAAAGGTTTTGAATTATTTCATAGTTGATACGTAAATAAAAAAAATTTAGGTTTCACTCTATATAAAACAAGCAGGTTTCAAGGACCTGAATGTAGGTTTTGCCGATATTTAATCAGAACAAAGGGGTAAACTAATCCTCTACAATCACTAATTATATAAAGTAGTTTATACATAGTTTATAAGTTTTATAAAATGGGTTTTGCCAAGGTTAAATGCTTTATTAAGTAGGTTTGATAAAACGATTCCATTGTGATAATTCTGCAACAGGTCATTTATGCACTTGCACGGTTTACAATAAAGTAATTAATTAATTAATAATTAATTAACAAAACAGTTCGACGATGGGAGACCGATTTACTTGTGACGTCACGGATCCTCTTAGATCAATCGATGAGAAGGGGGTTGAGAACCTTCGTTCAACTTGCAACCTGCCTCGGTGCCTCCCCTGAACCTAGACCGTTTTGTAAACAAATTATGGACAGTCGGATAGTTTTGTCTTTTTTTCTATTTTAACGGAAAATCTTCTTTTTTATTCTTTCCAGGCGAGAAAGTGAGAGAGGAAAGAAAAGCCTGGAGAGAGAGAGATAGAAGAGGTATTCAATTTTTTTTGTCGATTTTGATTTTGCGTTCGACGTATCCCGATGGCCCCCTTCAGCCCGAAATCGGGTCGTTCCTTCTACAATTTTCTTTTTTCCCTTTTTTAGCGTTTTCCCCAATAAAACAATTTTTTTAAAAATTAATATTTAAAACAAAGTTTATTTTTTTTAAGTATACGCAAGATCGGCCGTCAGGGTGGAACGGTCGTTTATTACCTTAAAATCTTGAAATATATCGGATTTGTAATATTTAATGCAGCACCCTGTATATTTTGGTTAATGCATTTTACACGTGATCCGTTTAAAAAACGTCAGAAAAAAGTTTACTATTGAATAAAAACTAAAGAAATTTAACCAGGTCAATTGATTAGTAGTTCAGTCGACCAATTTTGCTTGATCACACCGCAGACTAAAAAAATCTAAATTTTTGTAATAAATTCCGTTATACAGCGGTTTGCTATACTTTTTTTCAGTGGGTAGGTTATACCTCTGTTTCTAATCACAAAAAGTCGGTTGTAAAAACGTTTTCAATCTCAAAACTGTATTCACACATGGTACGTAGGTTATAGGAAGGTTTTCATTTCAACAAAGTAAGTTATGCAATTGTTTCAAGCCTCAGAAAGTAGGTTATAAAAGGGTTTATAGCATATTAAAAAAGGTTATATAATGGTTTCAAACCTCACAAATTAGTTGTAAAAAAATTATGTATAACCTGATGAAGTAGGTTATACAGTTGTTTTACTGAGTTCATAAAATAGGTACAGTTTTTTCAGTTTCATAAAGTAGGTTCTAAAATGGTTTCCAGTGGGTTCGACTGGTGATAGGGGGAAAAGTAGGTTATATCATTGTTTCCAATTTCATCTAGGTTAACTATGGTTTCTTGTATGATAATGGTACAGTTTCTAATCTGACAAAGTAGGTTATGTAATGTAAGTTTCAAAAATTACATTGTCAAATTGTTACTTGTCTCATAAAATTGTTTGTTATATGTCTCAAAAAATAGTTTTCTGTTGAATGGTTTCTAGTTTCTTAAATGCTTTCACAAAAAGTTTGTTCTACAATGGTTTCCAGTATCATAAAGTAGTTTTTGATAACCCTAAAAAAATTGTTTCATACAAATATTTCTAGTCTCTCAATTTAGTTTTTATACAATGATTTCAGCTGTTATAAATGGTTTATGACAACCCTAAAAAAACGTTATACGATTATTTCCTGCCTCATAAAGTGTTCTTTTTATGCAATGGTTTTCGGTATCATATTGTAGTTAGCGATAGGCCTTGTAAAAAGTTTGTACATACTTTTTTCCACTAAATTTAATTAATTAATTTAATTGTTAAAATCTAATTTAAAAAAAAATTGTTATGCCCAGTATCATAAAGTAGTTTATAATAAGCCTACAAAACATTTTTGTTGTGCAATTGTCTCTAGTATCAGAAAGTAGTTTAAGATTTTTAAAAAAAAGTTGTACTATCGTTTGTATAAAGTAGTTTATGATAAGCCTAAAAAATAAATAAAAAATGGTACAATTGTTTCCAGTATCATAAAGTGTATGATATGGCTAAAAAAAAATGTTATTATTAGAAATCTTTGCAATACTCTGCATATATACGGTGTAGGTCATTTAAATTATTTGTTTGTTAATAGGGAAGCTTGTGTTTACAATGTCATCTAAGAATGGTGTCGAAGTGGAAGGAAAGAATGTGCAGAATGACAAGCAGCCGGAAGATGAGGGCTACCCCGAGATCCCGTTTTCGTACGAGTGCCTTGACTGCGACACGTCATTCGATGACAACATCCAGCTCATGTCGCACGTTTGCACTGCAGAGGTGAAGAAGACGGACAAGAAGAGCCGCTACCCGTGCAAGTACTGCGACTACACGTTTCCGGTGCCTAGCAAGCTGAAGCGGCACATGAAGACGCACGTCGAGAAGAAAGGCTTCGCCTGCGACAAGTGCGATTACTCAACCGGACGCGAGTCCAGCCTTCAGAGTCACTCGCAGTCGCATTCGAACGGCTGCTCCGTCTGCGGTGATGGATTCCCTACTCCGAACAAGCTCAAGGCGCACATGAAGACGCACGGCGAGAAGCCTTACACGTGCGACTACTGCAGCTACGCCTGCGACCAGGCCGGCAAGCTCAAGGTGCACATGCGGACGCACACGGGCGAACGGCCGTACCCGTGCCCAAATTGCAGCCACGCCTTCTCAAAGGCATGGAACCTCAAGGTGCACATGAAAACGCATATGCGTGACCTAGCATGCAAAAAGTGTGACTATAACGCTTCCAACGTTCAAGACCTGAGGGTGCATGCAATGGCGCACGTCGGCAACCAGGTGAAAGTGCACAACTGCACCATGTGCGCCTACTCGTCCAACCAAATTTATAAACTCAAACGTCATATGAAAACCCATATTTAAATAAATATGCCACAATTTCAGCGCCTCCCATATTATTTAAATATCACATATATATATTTACAAAAAAGGAAAAAAAAAACTTTAAAAACCCTAAAAAATAATTAGTGATCGTGTCTGTGATAAACTTATGATTACAGGACATCTTTTACCCACTTTCTTAATTTAAATGTTATGTATAACCAATCAATGTCATGTGATAATGTAAATAAAATAATTTCTTATTTTTTATATATATATTTTTTAACATGTATGTTATTTAATGGAAAATCTTTTTTTTCCAGTTCTGTCCTTTTCATCTTCAACATGTCAGGAATGATGATTGGAAACTATTGTAAACATACAACCTAATACTAGGAATTTGTAACCTATCTTTTGACATGATCACTGGTTTCCAACAATCAAAAAGTTGATAATACAATAGTTTGTCGAATCATAAAGTATGTTATGAAAATAGTTTCCAGTATCATAAAGTAAGTTATACTATGGCCTCCAAACTCACAAAGTGATGATGATTTCCGTTTCTACAAAGTAGGTTCTAAAATAGTTTCCACTTAACAGGTTTCACAGTAGTTCTTAGTAACCTAAAGTAGGTTCTACAGTGGTTTAGAATAAGGTAACACAAAGATTTTTCAATTTCATAAAGTATGTTGTGATGCAACAGTTTCTAGCTTCACAAACGACATTAAGTTTAAATTCTCATAAAGAGGGATAAACATTTGTCTTCATCTAATACAGTTTACACAATCCCATAAAATATGTTATACAATGGTGTTTCAATTCCATAAAATAGTTTGTTATCGAATAGTTTCACAAAGTAGGTTAGGTTTAAATGATCATAAAGTGTTTATAAAATGGTTTCTTGTCAATAAATTTTATACAATCTCATAAAGAAGGTTATACAAAGGTTTTTCAATTTCATAATATAGTTTGTTATACAATAGTTTCTACCTTCATAAAGTAGGCTAGGTCTGAAGTATTGTAAAGTATGCTATGATTTTCATTTCATTAAAGATGGTAATAAAAAGTGACCAGCATCGCAAAATAGGTCATAAAATGTTATCTAGTATCACAAAGTGGGATATACAATCATGCACAGAATCATAAAGTTGGTCATATAATGTTGTTCAGTATTATAAAGTAGGTTATACAATTATTTCCATTACAGTAAAGAAGGTTATAGGAGTTGGTTGAGGTGGTCCCAGAAGTGACCATTTTATACTACTTACAATGGTTTCCAATTTTAATAACGTAGGCTATGCAATGGTTTTCAGTATCTTAAAGTATGTTTGTACAGTAGTTTCCAGCATCATTAAATAGGCTTCTACAATGGTTTCCAACTTTAAAAAGGAGGTTATGCAACGGTTTTTAGTCATAAGATGAGTTATACAATGGTTTCTAGTGGCATAAAATGAGTTGTATAATGGTTTCCAATGTCTTTAAATAGGCTTCTACAAAACTTTCCAATTCTAAACAAAAGGAAGTAGGTTATGCAATGTTTCCAATTTTAACTAAGAAGGTTATACAATGGTTTCCAGTACCATTAATTATGCTTCTACAAAGTTTTACAATTTTAACAAATTAGGTTATACAATGGTTTTCAGTGTCATAAAGTGGGTTTGTACAATAATTATGATTATATTTTCTAGATTAAATGAAACTCGACCTTAAAAACTTTATTAAAAGTAATATGAATACTCTTAAGTTAGTTTTAATATAATTCCGCCAGGCGCTGTAAGTATTGTGCCTTGAGGTTATTCCATCAGCTGATTGCCGTTTTGAGGGTCCTTACGCTGCTGGTTGAGGTTTTCTCTACCAGTCAGGAAAACTGGTAACCCAGAGAGAAAATACACAAAAAAAAAGGTGAAATTAATTTTGCTTAATTAATATTGATTTATTGAAATGCGTAAATGTTTGTTTTCCTGTCGCTACAGGAGGACTCACATTTGGTGGTACAAGTTGGCTTGATCAAGTGTTATTTATGTATTTTATTGCGTTTTTAATGTGTATTTGATTGGCTTTGTAGTTGTCTACTCGATGCGGGTTTTATTTGAAAGATTCTGTTTGTTAGCTTTCAAATCTGGGAGAGTGATTTTATAGTTGACCGGTTGTTATTTGTTTAGATGTCTGTGCTGAAGGGGAAGCTGCTTTATCAAGTGGCTCGGCGTAGCATCTGTTCCGGTTCGGCTTTGCGTGCTGCATGGAACAAGGACTGGATGCCGGGTCCGTACCCGAAGACGGAGGAGGAGCGTCTCGCTGCCGCCAAGAAGTACAACCTCTTACCTCAGGAGTACAAGCCGATTGACGACGACGGTTACGGCGCTGGTGACTACCCAGACTTCAAGCCTTACTCGGTCGAATCGCGAGACCCTTTCTACCCGTGGGACTTTCCCGAGTACAGGAGGAACTTCGGCGAGGCGTTACACGAAGATTTCAACATGTACACCGAGGACAGGTAGTCCTTTTTCTCTTTAAATATATATTTTATACCTCAGTTTTCAAAGGACAAACTTTGTTTCTTTTTTCACCTTGCCCAAAACAGACTGGACATCAGCAAGAGGGAAAGGTTATCGGCTCCAGTGATGGGGCTCATGTTCCTAGGTACGTTGACTGGCTTCTACCTAATAAACGTGCTCTGCCGTGACCTTTGGCTACCTCCTGCATTGCCAAAGCAGCTCCCGGCCCACGGTGTCAAGCACTACATGTACGAAGGCACCGCCGGCACCGGACATCATTGATGTACACTCTTGTAAAAACAAAAAAAAGAAGAAGTAAAAATGAGAAATATGTATATTAAAAAAAGCAGTTTAAATAATAATAGTTTGAAACATTTCATAATTTTGTTATTTTACCCCCTGCTATGTATTATATATGTTCAACTAACATTTGTCCGTGCATGTATCAGTACTGGAGCACTCAAACCAAATCTATATCATAAAAATAAGCATTACATATTTATATGAACACTTTCATAAATAATTAATTATACATAATGTCAAAAAGATGTCGTGCAGAATTGTTCTGTTTGTAGAAACAACTTTTTTACGTTACTTAACGAAACTTAAATAAAACCTTCATTTCGCTTAATTACAAAATGCTGTCAAGTTTGGTATTACGTATGAACAGATATTGTAAAAACCTAGTATGATCTGAGATTGTAAAACCTTCAAACTACCTGCTTTCTGAGACTAGAAACTAGTGTATTAACTACTTTGTGAGAACATAGTAATCTAATTCCCAAGACTAGAAACCATTTTATTATCTACTTTGTGAGAATGTAGTCATTGGATTTCTGAGTCTGAAACCATTGAATAATCTTTGTGTGAAATTAAGACTGGAAGAGTGGTAAAACCTATATTCTAAGTGTGTGGTGATTAGTGACCGTTAATCGATAATTATTCAGAAATCGTGAGATGCGTTCCAGACCGCATCTCACGATTTCTGAATAACTACTTTCTAAAATTGGAAACCGTTTTATAATAACCCGTTTTATGAGATTTAAAACAGTGCTACAGCCCACATTATCATACGAGAAACCATTGTATAACCTACTTTATGAGACTGGAAATTACTATTCAATTATTTTTAAGAGACTGAAACCATAGTAAAACTCACTTTGTGAAATTGGAAAACATTGTACAAAACTGAGACTTTTAAAACAATCGTATAATCTACTTTGCCTGACTGGAAAATATTGCATAAATATTTTTCGGTAGTGGAACCATTGTAAGTGGAAACAGTAATAACCACTTTTGTGAAGCTGGAAACCCTGGTATGACTATCATTCTGAGAATGTGCAATTGTATAATATAATTTATCAGACTAGACATCAATGTATAACATTATGAGATTGGAATAGTGATAAAACCTACTATATGAGACTGAATATAATTTTTTTATAACCACTTTTTGAGGTTGGAATAAGTAGTGTAACATACTTTGTGAGCATGGAACAGTGGTGAAATCTACTTTATGAGACCAAATAAGTTCTTTTCATAACTTGCTTTATGAGACCGGTAAAGCAGGGAAACGTACTTTATGAGAATGAATGCATTTCTCTTATAGCCTATGTTATGAGATTGGAACAGTGGTAAAACCTACTTTATGAGACTGAATACATTTCTTTTATAACCTACTTTATGAGACTGGAACAGTGGTAAAATCTAGTTTATGAGACTAAATACATTTAATGTAACCTGCTTTATTATTGAAATCATTGGTTTAACCTACTTTGCGAGCTTGAAACCCTACAACCTTGATTGTGGCATTGTAAAATTTTTTCAAATACCTTAAAACAATATTATAACCTCCTTTTTGGATAAAGAACTCTTTTACATACCCTTCATTCTAAGATTGACTGTATAATCAACATCAACGACTAGAAACCAGAACCCTTGTGTAACATAATTCCTTAAATTTGAAACAGTGGCATAACCTACTTTTTAAATCAATTGTGTAATTTATTCAACAAACTAATAACTAACTTAAGTTGCAAAGGCCGGAAACAATTATATAACCCACTCTATGAAACTGAAAACCATTGTAAAACCTACGTGGCTGTAAAACCATGTCTGGCGTGCTTTTTGAGGCTAAAATCTATTAATTAGTTTCACCTTAAAAAATTACAAAAAATGCTTTTCCGAAAAATCTTTTAGAATTTTTTTCTGACGTCACAAACGAGTTATTGATACGAGATAACATGAAACCTCCACTGTTGTTACCGGCTAACGGTTTTTTAAAGATAAATGTCTCATTTGAAGGTCTGGCCCATTAAAAATTAAAAATAACAAACAATTAAGATCCGGGTCAATTGACTGGGTTGGTCGTTTTCTAGGGTTTCAAGGTGACGGACAATGGGCGGAAGAGGCTTTTCGGCGTGGCGTGCCGCTCCTTCGGCGAGCTTCTTGAAAAAGGCTCGAAAAAACTCCAAGTACGTCCCCACCCTTTAAAATACATTCTAAAATATTTTATTGTTTTATTATTAATCAGTTAAATCAGTGAGCCGGTCGTTTGCTCAATTATTCGTTCGTTAAATCAGCGAGTCGTTCAGTCAATTCGTTCTTTCAGCCAGTTCGTTCGGTCATCGGTGCGAACGGTTAGTGAATGATTCGTTCGTTCAATCAATTGAACTAGTTTGTTGATTCAGTGAGCCGTTAGTTTAGTCAATGATTCTATCGCTGAGTCAGCTAGTCGTTTTTTGGTCAATTCGTTCGTTTAGTCATTGGGCCGATGTGTTATTGAATGATTCGTTTGTTCAGTCAATGATTCTTTTGTTGCCTCAGCGAACGGTCGATCAATCGATGAATTTTTCATTGAGTCAGCGAGCAGGTCGTTTAATCTGTTATTGAATAATTCGTTCGTTCAATAGTTTGGTGATTCAGCGAGCCATAAAAATAGTGTTGTTTTAATACATTAATTGACTATATTAAGTAGGATGAATTTGACAACCTTCCTCATTGGTTATCTGTGTGTGGTTGATTTTTAAATAACGTGTTTTATTTTTTTATTTATTGTTTTATATAATTTTAGGTTGAGAAGGATGGTCTCTGTGCATATTTGCAAGATGGTACGATAATAGACGAAGAGTACTTCATGACGCTTCAGCCACAGACGGTTGTAATCCTGACGAAAGGCGATGTAAGGACAGGTGCCGACTTGATATACGACGTCCTCCGTACGGTAAATGTCGACTTACTTAAGGCGGGCGCAGAGGTGGAGCGTTTCTTCCAAGACGGGATCAAAGACAAGATCAAAGTATTGTCGAAGCTCGCCGAAGGGGACGCCGAAGAGGATTTCGCCGAATGGGCCAAAGGCGTTGAAACGGGCTGCCGCACCAAGGAGGCATACATGGAAATGCGCTGTCGCGAGAGGATACGCGGGTATTTCCACTCGGCTGTCAAGCTGCTCCGCTTGTCCGATGTCTACGCAGCAAAGAAGCTCCAGGTCGAGAGGTTAAAAGACGATTTGAAAGCCAAGCTGGACAAGAGTAAATGCGAGGGACATTATTTCAACAGGACCGTTGCCAGGGCGATGTGCGACGCCAAAGGTGTCTTCACATGCGGTGGCCTCTGGGACAGGGAACGCTGCAATCACAACCGTGGCGAAGGACATAAAATCAACCCATACAAGAGCCGCGAGCAGAGGATCATATTTTCAACTTGGAATCTTGATCATAGGTGAGCAAACTGTACAAATTGTAACTGACTCAATTCTAAACCGAAAAACAACTTTTTCAGAATAGAAAAATCAAGGACGATCATTCCTACAATAATAACAGCCTTGTCGAATCTCAAAAGCGGTCTCTCGATTGATTCAAGTTATATCTACACGCTTCTTTTTACTAAGGAGAACCTCAAGATCGTCCATATCGTATGCCACGACAAATCGGCACATGCTACGGCAAAAATTGATTCTGACAGGATCATCGTGAGGAGGAATGGAATGGCTCTGGCGGCATCGTGAATCATTATTGGCGAGTGCTATTTTAGTTCTCATTTATTTTAAGTAAATGTATCGTTTTGGTGCATTAAAATGATAATGCCCTCACTGACCAAATTTAATGAGACATCCTCTCAATACCCTGACTCATTGACCAACTCGTTCACTCACCGGCCAAACTTAATGAGACACCCTCTCAATACCAACTCATTCACCAAATGACCAAACTTGATGAGACGGGCTCTCAATACTAACTCATTGACCAACTCATTCACTCTCCGAACAAACTAATGAGCAGCCTCTGAATACGGACTCATTGACCAACTCATTCACTCACTGACCAAACTTAATGAGACAGACTCTCAATAGCAACACACTGACCAATTCATTCACTCAGTGACCAACTTGAGACATCCTCTCATCACTGACTCATTGACCAATTCATTCTCTTCCTGACCCAGTCACTCACGCATCGACTGACTCATTAATTCACCAAACAGCTCTTTCGTACACTGACCAAACCGATTGTGCCAATTGACCGCGGTTATTATTTTTCTACCTTTGCCAATTTTTGTAAAGACATTCCGAGACAAATGGTAAAATATGATTTTGTATGTTTTAATTTATGGAAAATATTTAGAAAAAAATGTAAAAATTTCTAGGGATTATCTATGTCGTTTAAACAGCCATGTCCTTGGAAAAAGAAAAAACAAAATGTACTTCATTATAATATTACAAAGATTGTAATTCTTATCTAAGCAATTATTATGCTTTTTTACATTCTTTTTCGTACAGAGGTTTAAAAAAAAATTAAGTTTACCTTATTTTAATTCATTTACTATGGACAACATACCTTATTATTATTAATGTATTATATTGTTTTTAATAATTAATTATTTATTTACATTGTGATTTTTTTAAATTTTATTCTTTGACCCCAGGTGTACAGAAAATACTCCCGGTTTTATAAATTCCCGACGCTTTCAGACAATTCTACCATTCAGTGACTGAACTATTCACTGACTAGTTCAGTTTGTGACCGATTCACTCGCTCAATGTCACTGCATGATTCACTCACTTTACGATTGATTTTGCCATTCAGGGACTGAACTATTCACTAACTAGTTCAGTTTGTGAACGACTCACTAGTTCGATGTCACTGAACGACTCACTTTACGATTCGCAGAACTATTCACTAATTTACGTACATAGTTTAATTTACGAACGTGGGAGGGAAATTTTCCCTCGTTTCGGCCAGCCTGCAAAGCCGACTCCCCCTTCCCAAGAGTTAACAGTCGATGGCCGTCATCCGTGGTGTTCACTCCGACGGGATTTGACATTTGTTTTATTTTCTTTCCTGTTCTTTTTTATATTTTTTGTTTCCCGTTTTATCTGGAATCGTGTCAAACACGCCCATTGTTCCGTTTTATTTTATCTTTCGACCACTTGTATTTTTTTCTTTCTTTTTAATTTTCCCTCCGGAAAACGACTTTCTTTTTTTCCAATTCTCCCTTTTCCTGTTATGCGACTCGACTTGGCTGATTGATCCGGCGATGTGATGGATTTTTCCGGTCCTTCCTTCGAAGGGGCTGAGGTTGGGATCGATGAAAAAGGTAAAAAAAAAGGAAAAAAAAGAAAGAGGAGTGGACATTGAACACCGCACTCATTCCACCATTCATCATTTCTATAGACGATTGGACTTTTCAGGCTGGTTGATACCGTATGTTGTGATAACATGATTTGATAGCTCAGTTCTTTGATTTCACGGCCAGATCAGGGTCGGCTTTTCCCATAATTAAAAAGTACTATCATCACTGTGAAAATGTTTTCGCAAAAGATCTTTAATTTAAACTGAAACATTGCACAATCTTGACAGTTGGGTGTATTGAGGCGATCGTTACTTCAGTTGTCATTGTATGTCATGTAATCGTTGATTCAAAAAGAACGATTCGTTCATTTTGTTCACCTTTCGTCCGTTAAATGAATTAGCCGTACGTTCTTTCGGTTAATTATTCATTATATTCAATGAGCCATTGACTTATTCCACCAACAAATCAGTGAGTCATTCTTTAAGTCAATATATCATAGAGTAGATTCGTTCGTTCGTCATTTTGGTGATGTGTTTGTTGAGTTATAGCGTCGGACGTTCGGTCAATGATTCATTCGTCAGTCAGCGACCTGGTCGTTCAGTCAAGAATCGTTTGTTCAGTCGTCGATCCGGTCGGTTAGTGAATGAATCGGTCGTTGAGTCAGAGTGCTGGTTAGTAGTGCGGTAGCCGAGTGGTTAAGGCGTCAGACTCTCGGCTAGTAGATCCCGCGGTCGTGGGTTCGATCCCCACCGTCGCCTCTGGACTTTTCTGACGCCTAAGAGGACCGGTGGCCGCAATTGAAAGAAATTGACACGGCACTCATCAATGGAAGGGGCGGGATCGGATCTCAGCGACCCTGAATTTGGTCCCAACCCCCTTCAAAAATGAGTTTTTTCGATGGAAGAACACCAGTAAACGGGGGCTCAAGTTCACATTTGTGTTGCGAGCCCTCCCCCAAAATTTGGAGCCAGGGATAAGCTGTACAGCTCAGCTGCAGTGCTCAGGAGGGAACTCCTCCAGTCCCTGGTATCCAACAAAAAAAAAAGGCCGGTCGTTCGGTTAATGATTCGTTCGTTCTTTCAGAAAGCCGGTCATGTGGTCAGCGAGTCATTCTTTCAGTCAATGAGTAGCACGTATCGGGGTAGATTTTGTCGTTCGTTATTTTGGTCTCGCGTTTGTTAGTTATAACAACGGTCGCTCGGTCTATGATTCGTTCGTTTAGTTAATGATCCGTTGGTTAAAAACGCTTGTTCTATCAATCAACGATTCGTTGGTTCATACAGCGATCTGATCGGTTAGAGAATGATTGGTTTGTTGACTCAGAGAGGCGGTCGTTCGTTCAGTCAATGAGTAACTCGTTGTATCAGAAGCTATATTCATTCGTCCATCATTTTGGTTAAGCGTTAATTAAGTAATCGAGTCAGACGTTCAGTCAATGATTCGTTCGTTCAGTTAATGATCCGTCGGTTAAATAAGCTTGTCGTTCGTTCAGTCAGTGAGTAGTTCGTATCAAAGGGTAGATTCGCTCGTTCGTTAATTTGGTCAGCGTTCAAGTCAGCGCGTTGGAGGTTCTGTCATTGATTCGTTCGTTCAGTCAATGAGTAGCTCATTGTGTATTCGTTCGTCTATTATTTTGGTTGTGCGTTTGTTAAGTAATCGTGTCTTACGTTCAGTCAATGATTAGTTCGTTCAGATAGCCGGTCTTTCGGTTAATGAATCGTTCGTTCAGTTAATGATCTGTTAGTTTAAAAGCTCGTCGTTCTACCAGTCAATGATACTTTCGTTCAGCCAGAGAGCGGTCGTTCGGTTAATGAATCGTTCGTTCAGTTAATGATCTGTTAGTTTAAACGCTCGTCGTTCTATCAGTCAATGATTCGTTCGTTCAGCCAGAGAGCCGGTCGTACGGTCAGTTGATGATTCGTTGGTTAAGTAAGCTTGTAGTTCTACTAGTCAATGATCCGTTCTTTGAGCCAATAAGAAAACAGTACCTTCAATGAATGATTCATTCCTTTTTTGACTCAGTCGTTCGTTTGCTGTCAAATGAGTGAATCGTGTGATAATTTTATCTTTAGTTTATTCACGTCTTCGCCCATTTATTGTGTATTACTCAACTGCATACATTTAAATTGTGATTTTGTAATTTATTGAATCACTGTGAATTTTTTGTTTTTGTAGATATTATAAATCTCGTGGAAGGGCTCACGGATGCAGGTAAATACTCGTACGCCGGCCTCTGCGCCATCACTCTCCACAGCCTGTTCTACGACTGCGAACCCGACCGGCCGTTCTGCTACGAATGCCTTTCCTGCGTCGTCAGCCACCTCGGCCTCCCGGACTCCGTGTCGCCGATCATGGACCTCCTCCTTAAAGGCGAGATGTCCAACTCGGCCGAGTCTTTCCTCAATGTCCTCAACACGGAGGCCGTCCTTGAAGGAAATCTCTGCTATGTACTCCAAGACCTCGTAACAGTCGCAGTTCAGAAAGGTTTTTTTTATATTAATAATAATTATAATGTTGTTTTGTGTTCAATTTTTATTATTATACAGTTATTTTTTTTTTTTTCACTTTTACACATTTTTTGAGGATTGTCTATCGGTGAGTTTTATAAAGTTTAACAAGATTTTTTTGTTTTGTTTTTTCAGAATTAATTTTTTGGGGTGAACATTTTTTTAAAAATGTTTTAGGTGAGTACGACTCGCGTTGGAGGGTGTTGATACGCAAGCTGAGGGAGCTCATGGACGTCGAGTCGACCGATGTCGAATTTTACGAGATCAACGTCATCAACTGCCTGACACAGGAACGGGCTAGCGTCACAGAGTATGTCTTTTTTTTTATGATTTCCTAAATAAAGAAAACAATCGGCAAATTTTCCCCTGCAGGGAGGAGAGGAAGACGACAAAGAAGCGCAACAGGATTACAAAGGCGAAACGTTATGCCATGATCGCTCTGGCAACGATCGGTGGTGGGACTTTGATTGGTGAGTCATTCACAGGTTCATTTTTTTTTTTTTTTAATTATCATTATTATTATTTTTTAAAGGTGTGACAGGAGGACTAGCGGCTCCTCTGATCGGAGCAGGTCTGGGCTCTGTTTTGGGAACATCGGCTATCATCACCGGACTGACTGGTGCGGCTGGAGCGGCGGTTTTTGGCACGCTTTTTGGCGCGGCAGGAGGCGGACTTGCTGGGTACAAGATGAACAAAAGGGTTGGTGAAATCGAAGAATTCGCGTTCGGCCAGCTTGGCCCGTACACTGACAATGGACGCGATGGCGTCACATCGGTTACGACGCCTCAGCTCGACATAACAATTGCCCTGTCTGGATGGATCAACGACGAAAGGTAACATAAATAAATAAAAAAAAATTAAAATAATGAAATAAAAAATTGCAGTGAAGATAACTTTACGAAGCCTTGGAAGACGCTGTACTCGTCTCGTGAGCAGTATTACCTGCGCTACGAGTCATCATACCTGCTCGAATTGGGCAAAGCGATCGAGTACTTCATGTCTATGGTGCTTACAATGGCAACCCAAGAAGCGTTGAAATACACCATACTCTCAGGTTAATCCCCCCTACCCCATACACTTTTTTTTAAATTTTTACATAAACATTTCTTGCAGGTTTGGTGAGTGCGATCAGCCTACCAGCTGGTCTCATGAGCCTGGCGTCTGTCATCGACAACCCTTGGGGAGTCTGTTGCAGAAGATCGGCGCAGGTGAAAAAAATCCAATTTTTTAATATTTTTTTAATCCTTAGTTTATTACATGTTAGGTTGGAAAGCATTTAGCGCAGGTATTGCTGAATCGTGAGCATGGGCGCCGGCCGGTGACCCTGATCGGCTATTCACTCGGTGCGCGCGCTCTCTACTACTGCCTCCGAGAGATGTCGGAGCGTCAGAACTGTGTCGGGCTTGTCCAAGACGCTTACCTCCTTGGTGCCCCGTGCACGGGCAATGCCGCGAAATGGGACAAAATTTCGAAAGTCGTCGCCGGGAAGCTCGTCAACGGATACTGCACGTGAGTTGTCCGAGAAGTAAAATTCCGAACGTGCCTTTTTGAAAACGTTTTCTCTCCGTCGAAAGGACGGATTGGCTGTTGCGTTTCCTGTACAGGACGCTTTCGATGCCAAGAGGTGGAGTGGCTGGATTGCAGCCGATCGCCATCGAAAGCCGGCGGATCGTCAATCACGACCTGTCGCATATTGTGTCCGGGCACGGCGACTATCCGGACAACATGCACAAGATACTTAAACACATTGGCGTTAGGGTTGTCGAAATTCAGCCTATCACCGCTTCCAAATCGCACGACGATCTGCTTACCGTTCCTCAAGATGTTCAGGTGAATATGTCACTGAGTACAAATAAATTTATGTCCGGGGGTCTAAGTTACTAATTATTGATTGATTGACTGAGCAGATGACTGACTGACAGGAGTTGAATAAATCTTAGTGAGTGAGCTGTTCACTAAAATTAAGGGAGTGAATCTTTTGATTGAGGGAATCGTTCAATGATAGAGTATTTCATTAAATGAGTGAATCGTTCGGTCACTAAATGAGCGAATCGTGTCTGAGGGGTTAATAACTAATAATAAGTGATTGGTTGATGGACTGACAAGATTTGAATGTATTTTAGCGAATGAGCTGTTCACTAAAATTATGTGATTGAATCTTTCATTGACTGATTGAGTAGTGATCATTCAGTGACTGAATAATTGAGTATCATTCAATGAGTGAATCGTTCGGCCACTGAATGAGTGAATCGTTTGGTCTCTGATGAATGAATCCTTTGGTCACTGAATTAGTGAATCATTTGGTCACTGAATTAAGTCCAGTTGACGGACTGGCAGGATTTCATTCTCCAAAATTAAGTGATTAAATCTTTCAGTGTCTAAATGATTGAGTGAATCGTTCAATGACTGAATTATTCATTAACTTATTATTGAGTTGAAGTAATCTTAGTTCATTGATGAAGCGATTGAGTAAATAGTTTGGTGATTAAACAATTGAGTGAATCTTTCAGTTACTGAGGGGTGAATAACTGACTTATTGAGTGACAGACTGACAAGAGTTGAATGAATCTTTGTGAGTGAGCCGTTCACTAAAATTAAGTGAGTGAATCATTCAGTGACTAATTGAATGAATCTTTCTGTGACTGAAAGATGAGTGAACCATTCAATTCCTTAACTAGTTAGGGAATCATTCTCAAATTGAACTAGTTAATGGATTGGTTGATGAGTGAGTGAAGTGTACAGTAACATGAGGTGAATCGTTCACCTACTGAGTTAATTCAATTGAATGAGTGAATGTTCACTAACCGTTTGATTGACTGAGTTGGAGGGGATGACTTAAATGAATCTTCCATTCACCTACACAATGAGTGAGCCGTTAAGTGAACGAATCGTTCAATGACTGAACTAGTTCATAAATAGTTTTGTAACCGACCCTTTGAGACAAAGTAATTCCAATTAAATATGAAAACAACCGAATATCGTCCCAATATTAATTTTGTTTCGATCTTTTTTTTTCCAGATTGCCACGATTACGAAATCCTTGTCCGACTCTGTGATATTGACCGAACCAAAAAAATGACGAGAAAAAAATGCAGACATCACGTTTATGTTTGATAGGTGTAAAGTGAAGCCAAAAATTAAAAAAACAAAACAATTGTCCTCATCCTTCCTTAATATAACATCGTACTAAGACATTCCAGACGTCGTATGATAAGGACCAGTATACCAGGTAGAGTCTTTCAATATTTGTTTTACCTTCCATTAAACATTCCCTTACCTACATATTAATTTATGTATATTAATGTTTTTTAAACACGTTAGGTTTAATTCATAACAAAACTGTTGTATAAAAAAAAAAAAAATAGCACTTTACACATATCCTAGCGTGTGCCTCTTAGCCTAATATAAGCACTTTAAATTATTATTAAGCATTTAAATATATTTTTGATGCTTCAGATTATATAAATATATGTTATATATATATTTTAATGCGTGTATTTAAAAAAAGAAAAGAACAAATATATGTATATGTTGTGATTCGGCTGTCATCTGTAGCTTCTAATTAAAATTCTATTGACTGAACAGTTGATTTTTTCTCTGTTAATCACCTATTTGAGTCACCAGTCCTGATAAATCCCTCACTGAACGATTCAGTAGCTGAATTATTAACTAGTTCAGCCAGTGAACAGTTCACTAACTCGAATGTCACTGTATGGCTAAACCATTCATTCAGTCTATGAATTTTCATTAACTTACCATTAACGATTCACCAACTATACTAGTAACAGAACTAGGGTCCATAACTAGTAGTTAGGGAACGAACGACTCACTAATTCAGTTAATTTACAATTCACCAAATCAGTTGGTGAACTATTCATTCACTGAACGATACATTAGTTGAGCGATTCACCCATTCAATTGAACTGGCTCAGTGAAAGATTCACCCATACAATTGAACTAGCTCATGTAGTAAACGATTCACCCATTCAATTGAACTAGCTCAGTTAGTGTAAGATTCCTCTATTCAATTGAACTACTCAGTTAGTGAACGATACACTGTACAATACACACTCATCAACCGATGCATTAACTAGTTCAATTTGCGATTGATTCCGTAACTAGTTCAAGTAGTGAACGATTCACTCAATCTTTCAGTCACTGAACGATACACTAGTTTGGCGAAATTGTACTTATAAAATTTAGTGAACGATTCACTAAAACTATCAATCACTTTTAACTCACTTATTGTCATTGAACGACTCAACCATGTACACACGACTCAGTGGATGAATCATGTATTAACTTGTTAATATTAGTGAACGATCAGACAGACATTCGACCACAATGAAAGCTCGCTCACTGAACGATTCACTAACTGGACTAGTTATTAAACACCACTCATGTACGTCTCACTGATAGAATTGTCGTATATTTTCACCATCTCATACGTTCAACCTAGTGCGGAACGATTCCTCGATGAGATGTTAAAGGTACTATCTATGGGAGAAAAAGCTGAAGGTTAAATAATATTTTTATTTTGAACGTCTAGTTCATATAATCATAATTAATATGCAAGGGCTCTAATGCGATAATTTGGCTTTGCCTTTTTTCTCGATGTGTTTTTGTATCATTTTGAGTTTGAGCTTCATGTCGGAGTGTTCCTGAAGGTGTTTCTCGTAGATGAGCTGTGATCGGGCCTCGGCCGCCGTCAGCTTTCCGATGTACTCTATCGCCTCTCTGAGGATGAAGCGGCGCGACGCCATCCCGCCTTTGGGCCCCCCTCTCCCAGGGGCCAGGCTCGAAGGCAGTAGCCTGTGCAGTTCCCGGAGGAGGCGGATGTGCTGCCGCCTCCTGAGACGCTCCGCTTCCGCGTGGGACGAGTCCTCGTCGGAGATGCCGCAACACGCCGGCGACTCGTCGTCCACGTTGATGCTGATGTCCTCGTCGCTGTCCGATGAAAGCACGATGACCGGCTGCTCGTTCTCCGCGGCCATTTCAGAGCCGATCCGCCAACCCACGAGAGTAGATCAATTGACCGATATCGGCATCGGTTTCGGTGGTCAATAATTGGCCAAACTCCAAAGTGTAAGTCCGGTTTACAAGTATATACAACAATCGTTAGGAAGGTCTTGTGATAAAAAGAACTGCGTCACGAACCGGTCATGACGTCACTAAGTACAATAGCTAATGTATAATCTCTGTAATTCAACATATCTAGTTTTCATGTATAAATTTTCGAAAATAGCTCATTTGAACTAGTTCTTTTATGAAGTACATATCATTACTGAACTAGTTCGTTTATGACCTACATATCACTAAGAGAGGGGCAAAACGGTTCCTTTCGAGAAGCATCCTTCTGAGAAGATTCGTTTTGTTAAACTAGTTCTGCGAATGGTCCATTTGAACTAATCAATGGACCGTTTCATGAAGAACGATTCCTTTTACGTAAACTAGTTCTGGAAATATATTTATTTGAACTAGTTCTCGGAATGGCCCATTGTAACTAGTTCTGAGAACAGATCATTTGAGCTAGGCCTGGTTACAGATTTATTTGAACTAGTTCTGGGAGTAGATTATTTGAGCATGCTCGTTTGTGGACGGGTGCATTGAGTAAGTTTGACTAAGTAAACTAGTTCTTGTAGCAGATTATTGAGAACATGTTCGTGTATGGATGGATCCATTGAGTAACTATTTAGTTAACTTGTTTTGGGAATATATATATATATATATTTCCACTAGTTCTGGAAATAGATCATTTGAGGAATATTATCCTGTTGATAAAGCTTATTCGATTGAAACTACTTTTATTATCAACAAATCAACTACTGAGTCTACTGGTTCGGTTAAACCAGTAAATATTTTATTATTTTACATGATTTTTGTCGACTAGATTAAATAAATGGTTAATACCAAATGAAGCAAGAAGGCGATTTACATTTGGAACTTACCCTTTTAAAGATTATTTTAACATAAAAAAATCACTTTTAAATAATAAATAAATAAATTAATAAGAAATATACTTAAAAAAATTACTTAGCAATGCGAAGGAGTGTGTGCCATACTGCCTGTCCACTGTACTGAAGAGGATGCCTCATGGTTACAAATCTGTATATTGGATAGGGTTTTTTTTTCAAAATAAAGAAATTAAAAAAAGAACAATTTTGTTTGTTTTCTTTTTTCTGATATATAAATTATATACATTTTTTATTTCAAGTATTTTTTTAAAATTTTTCATATTTCAAACACTTTTGTTTCTTTATATAACTCAATCCTGTTGTTTAAATTATAAGACCAATTTTCTTCATGTCCTTAATTTATTATGTATATTATTTTTTCTTTATTTATAATTATGTATAAATATATGCTTTCGTGCGCATATGGTAAATGAATCATAAGCATATTTTGTTTTTATTCTCCCCCCGTCCACAGTAAACGGGAAAGGCGCTGTCGAAGGTCCAAGAGTGCGCCGAGGCAGGGGGTAGAATAAGTGAAGGGGAGGAAAAAATAAATGTAGAGGCTCCTCATTCATTCGTAAACCGTCCTATGGTTTTATTTATTTATTTTTTTTAAATGGGCGCGCGATAAAAAAGAACGAGAGGGGCCGGGTGGTTAATTGTACACTATACACAAATTCGCCATATTGTCTTGCGCTTGGGGGGCAAGAATGAAAAGCATCAGCACTGTAATTATCAGGGACAGGAAAATTAATCCTTTTTCCCTCTTTTAAGCGTAATGCATCGTTAGCGCTATTTTTATAGTATACAAGTTTTATTTTTCTCTAATAATTTATGATTTGCATTATTAAAAAAACAAAAACAAAACCCCTCGTCGTTTAGTCTTTTTTTTAACGCTTTAATTTTTCAAAATTATAAAAAAAAAAAAATAGCAATTTTTTAAATAAATAAAAGTATTTTTTTATTTATTTCGACAAATCCGATCACAGTAAGAATTCACTTCTGGGTATTTACACTATGTCCGACTATGACGACGAACGACAAGAAAAAAAAAGCATTACTGCCATTTTTTTAAATAATAAAAATTATAATTCAATACTACCCCCGAATAACTCATTTATTTTTTTAAACCTATTTACACTTAAAAACAAAAACAATAATTAAATAATTTTATAAAGAATGGGCGAGAGAGAGAGAGGGAGAGAGAAAGGAAAAAAAGATCAGTGCGCCGATTTTTTCTCTCAGTTTACCGTTTCCGGCAAGGATTATACTCACACGACGAGACTATCATAACAAAACGCCCAAATGACAAGCGATAAAAGTATACATTTTAAAAATAAAATATTTTCATACGGATTTGGGCACGATATTTTTACGTGGATGGAAAAGAGCGAAGGGAGAAAAATCGCCCTTTAAAAAAAAGTCATCGATGATTTTTTTCCTCCCCTAACAGTTCCAACAGAAAAAAATAGTTAAAAAACTAACAAAATACATAAATGCTAAAAAAATTCAATGAAAAACAAACCAAATAATATATAAATAATAATAATTATAAAAATTAGAGGAAGAGGATTTTTTCCATTATTTGCTGTGGTCTTTTTTTTTTTTTTTTGTAATATGTACACGTTGTTTATTCAGAAAAAAAGAGAAGAATCGGTGAATCGACGTAGCACGATGGATGTCATCTTGCATTCCATTACCGTCCGATGTCCGTAGTCTGAGAAACACACTGCACTTTTAAATAGCACTCACTGATTTAGATAAAACACCCACTTTTTTATTATCAAATTTCACTTTTTTGTCTTCCAGAAATTTTTTTAATGATTTTTTGTTTCTTCAAAATTCATTTATATATTCAAATTTTTTTCTTCTTTAATGTTTTGTTTAATAATTACATTATATTCAATAATAGTAATAATAATGATAATAATAGTTATTAAATGTAGTAAATAGTAATAAATTGCTGGAGGAAAAATCAATAATTTTAAAAAAAAAAAAAAAAAAAAAAGTTTTAACAAAATTTTCAACAAAAATTGAGTTTTTTAATTTTTTTTCTTGCTTTCAGTCTTTGTTTTTTAATTTTTTTTTTTGTTTTTCTATTTTTAAACAAGGGTAAGGGGGGGGGAAATGTCATCTTATTCCTTTTTTTTCCGAAGTATATTAATATATATGTATATATATATATATATATATACATATATAAAGAGGAGAGGAAGACTTCAGCTTGGCTGTTGAAGGACAGTGAGTGAAGATCTGACTCCGCTCTTGTACTTGCGATTATCGTAGGTCCTCCAACCTCCACCTTCCACCCTGTGAGAAAAAAGGGGGAAAAGGCGGGTAAGAGCACAAAATTAATAAAAAATAATCAATGATCGGGTTCAATGAGTACCGACCTGTCCTTACCCGCTTTGACAGATGGATCAAGACTCCTCCTCTGTGTCGTTATTTTCTGAGAGCATTACAAAAAATGATGGGAGGATTTTGAGAAGGACGCCCTTCCCGTGAGTCTCGTACTCGGTCTCCGGCTGGTCGGGCGATTTCCATTTGATGAAACCTTCATACGATATCGTCCCGGCATTGTAGAGCATTTCAAAAATCTCTGATATCAGGGCTGGAGGGGGGACGAGAATGGAGAAAAAATCAATAGTTTAATCTTCCTGGTGCTCAACTTGGGGGAAAAAAGAAAAAAACAAATCAAGACTTACAGGGTGGTGCGACCATCTCGTTTGCCAAAAGGTTCTGTACTGCGTATAAACAAGCGAGTTCGCGTTTTTCGACGTTGTCGACGAATTTCTTGATAAGTTTTCTATTGCACTCAAATGCTTCGTGGCACAATTTGTCTTTAACTGCAAAAAAATAAAAAAATAAATTACTATTAGAATATTTACAATTGATTAAAAAAAAAAAAAAAAAAAAAAAAAAAGTTCAAGTTCAGTTTGTGGCTCTTGATCAATGTCGCTGAATGGCTCTCAACCATATGTTCGGTGAATGATTCACTTACAAGTACAGGTGGTGAACAATTAGCTCGCTCATTGTTACAGAACGACTGATTCAACCATTCACTGAATGACGAACTAGATTTGCACTTTTTAATTGACTTGTGCCTGAACAATTTACAATTGGTGGGCGACTCGTTTAATCAAACTGAACAACTCTATAGTCAAGAATATTTTTTAAGTTATTTAGCATAGTTGTTGCTCCTAGTACGTATAACCAACACATTGTTAATACTCTGTGTGGTGTTTAGTGATCATTAGTTGATGGTTAATTAGAGATCGTGAGATGCGGCCTGGGTGGTGTGGGTTTAGAAAAACATTTTGTTTATCATGCCTAAGTTTCGATCTTTATTGAGATTATCTCCAGGGCCTGGGATTTATAAACGTTTAAATGAATGGTGAGAAATGCCCTAATAAAGATGATCTCAATAAAGATCGAAACGTTGACATGATGAAAAAGTTTTTCTAAATCCACATCACCCAGACTGCATTTTATGATAATCAAATAATCATCGTAAATATTGTAATAATTTGTCCAAATAGTGAGGAGCAGTCAAGAATGAGGTAATTTAGAAAAACACAATTTTTGTTCCCCCCCCAACATTTTGACCTTTATTCGGATCATGTTCTGGGCCTGGGTATATTACAAAACATGTTGATTGGAAAAAAAAATTTAAGGCGTAAATATAAATTTTGAACCAAGTATTTCATACTCACTTAAACTGTGGTGTCATTTGGGTTTTGTGTGAAACGCGAATTCGTTTGGCTAAATACACCGCTGCTCTAACCATTTGAGCTATCGTGACTTCGAACCACTCTAACACCAACACATCTCAACCTCATTCTTTGGTTTCTATTTTATTTATTTAAATAGAAGTTTTCAGTTTGATTGTAATTAATTTTCATGTGGTTTTTAAGAGGCTAAGTATTTTTAATTACAAAACAAGTTTATACATAAAGAAATAAGACTTACCTATAGAACCTTTTAAGACCGCTCGTGTGACGGCTTTAATAAAATCATTGCTTCCTATAATTGTGTCAGACACGTTGACCTAAAAATTTAAGGGGAAAAATATATCAGGACAATTCTTTCGAATTACGATTTTTAATTGGGCAGCACATTACTTTGACCCAATCGCAGGCGTAGTCGAAAGCTTTATTCGAATCGTTCTTCATGAAGGTGAGAAGTTTCTCCTCAATTTCTTCGCACGTAAGGGTGTCGTCCGGCTGCGTTGCCACTTCCCCGGAACCGGTGAGGAACCCTAAATTCTTCACAAAAAGGAGGAAAAAAATTACAGTTCAATGCGTGACATCTCAACAGATAAAACAAATAATATGGTTTATTAAAGGTCAGAACTGAATTGAAAAATTTTCGTCCTCTTTAACTCTAAAAGTTAATCGGAGAGAAGATTAGACTAGTCATCATATTTATCTGTTTTTCTGATTTATTATTAATTAATTTAAAAAAAATCAACTGAAATTCATTTGACTTACATTATCTGCTACAAATTTATCTACACTGCCTGGTACACAATCTACAATTTGGACTCGCGACAGCTCCCACTGCGTCCTGATCCAACTTGGTCCCTGAAAAAGAAGAGGAAATCAAATATATAATACTCTAATAATAATAAAAATTACACATGTTAATATTTTACCTTTTCTTTAATTAATAATTCAATAATTTTGACTAAAAGTTGAGAAAAGTTTTCTTTCCTAGTGGATTTTGCCGCAATTTTCACGTTCGCAAAGTTTAAAACCTCATGGGCTAAAAGAGGGACTGTGGAGGAAAAAAAGTTTTAACAAAACCATCAACACAAACAATTTAAAAATAAATAAATAAAATTTAAAAAAAATTAAAAATTACCTAATAATTGGGCTAAATATTTCCATATTAATGGCAAGTCTATTACAAGATCTTCATTAGCCATGATTTGTGAAAACCTGAAAAAAAAAAAAAAAAAAATAAATAAATAAAAATTAAGATATGTACTGCAGGTTTGATTATTTTAACTTCATAATTTCATGTAAAGTTCTCACCCTTCAATTACATCCTTGGTCTGAATTAATTTCTTATCCTTAATAAGAATGACTAGTAATTTACCGAAGCACGTCCTTGAATTCGACTTGGAGTTCTCGACGACGTCGAGAAGACCCGTGTGGATAAAACGAACTCGGTTGGGACCGATGAACGTCTCCTCAATCGAGAGACAAGTATCCTATCGAAAAGATAAAAATTAAAAAAAAATATATATATATATATTATATATATATCAATCACCTCTATATTTTGATACAGGGACCATTCTTCGATAGTGACCCTGGTCAAGCTGAGGAGCTTATTGTCAGGGAGAAGCTCAACAGATTTGGCGTCTGACATTTCTCTGTCATTCGCCTTTTCCTCCCTGTCCTCTCGGCTGAGCGCCGATGATGACGAGAGCGAAGTGGCTGGGCTCGTCCCGTACCTCTGCCTAGAGCTCTCTCTCGAGCTTGGGCCCGATCCCGAACCGCTTCTCCTCTGCATGTCCAATGCTGAAAATACAAAATGGACCATATGTAATAAATAACTAATAATAAATAATAATGAAAAAATTGTTATTACTACAAATTATTTAAAAAAAATATATATATATTCCCACCTTGTTTGATACTTGGAAGTACTCTTTCCTTTTCTAAACTGGGGGATGGTGTGACTCCTTTTTTGCTGTGGAAAATAAAACTCAAAATTAATATAAAATTAAAACATTTATGTTTAGTGGTCTAACTGACCAAACTACTTATTTTAATTGTTCTTGGTCGAGATGAAAAGTATAATTAGTCAAAACAAAATTTTTATAAAAATTTCGTGTGTTACCTCATAGGTCCGAGCATTGATTTTTTGTCGTCATGTTGTCCGAGGACGGCGTACCGGTTTATGTATTGCTTGCTGTTATCGGAACGCTTTGCATTCGATCCCAATGACCATTGTACGAACTGGTTCGCTGTACCTAGCCCTTCGACGTCTGTGCCCTTGATGTTGAGGAACTTAGACGCTTCGACAGTCGTATAACTCTTGACGCCTTGATTCACCTTGAGCCAGCCGTCCTCGCTCACTTGGTTCTTCTGGTTTCGACGCCTGTCGTCATTCATGTGCTTGCCTCGACTGCTGCCGCCTCCGCCCGACATGGACATTGGTGCAGGGTAAAAGTTACTTTCGAGTATTGTTTCCCTTTCGGCATCCTTGTGTATTTGTTCGATTGTCTTCGGCTTGTTCTCATCCCGCCGAGGTATCCATTTGTTCATCCTTAAGTCGATAACGTCCTGAAGCATGAACCTTATCCTTGATGAAACTTTTGAGTCTGACGATTTCTGCGCGAGTTTCGATATCGTGTTGAAGTAATCGTCGAACTCCTAAAAAATTAAAAAGAAAAAATAATAAAAACTATCATTGCATTTATATTTGAGTACTAAAATAAAATAATTACTCCATGACTCGATTTCTGTTCCAAATCTTTGCCAACTGTAGTTAAAAGTTTACACAAGCATTCCAAAGGTTCTTCGTCAACCCGAGCAAGCAGAACTCCGATGCACGTGTGCATTATGTTAGGCGTGAGCATGCCCTTTTTGTAAAGCTCACCAATAAATCTTACCAAGCCGACGGCTTTGACACGAATTTTTCGCTCGTCCTCACCAAGAATTAGTTTCATCTCTTTTTGCTTTTCCTTAAAAAAAAAATATATATATATACATAAATTAAAAAAATATATATTCCAATTAAAATTAAAAGGGATGCAAGTTACATACGAGATCTTTCGTTTCTTCAATTTCCCTCGTACGGGTCACGATGTCAAGCTGGTCGCCTTTTGTCTTCTCGAACTGTTCTTGGCACTTGACGAGAAGTACCTTCCTGAAAAGGATTTCATTCGTTGTGCCCTCTTCTTTCTTTTCTTTGTTCAACGGGACTTTCGTGTTCTGAAGGTTGGCACAAAGATCAGCGTACATCGATGAAAACGACGGCTCATCGATTGCCTATAAATAAAACAAAAACATCAAAAAAATTAATAAACTTAATTTCAACAATACTAGAGGGATAATAGAAATAAATAATAACCTTTTCAAAAACTAAATTTACAACGCTCTTGAGCCTATTTTCGTTATCTATACCCAAATTCTGGACTTTCTCGAGTAGCCGTTCAAATTTCTGAGGGGTGAGCTTGTTCAATATACCCCTCATTGTTTTAAGAAGAACCTAAAAACAAAGAAAAAATGTTAATATTTTTTTTTTTTTAAGACTATTTTTTTAATTGCCTGAGTTTTGAGCTCCTCTTCAGATACGTTCGCCTGATTTGTAAACCGAGTTGGTTTCCAGCTGTTGGCCACTTTGTGCAGGTTGGGCTCATCGCGATACAAGTTGGCACTGCTGTATGAAGAGCCAGGCTTCTGCATCCTACCGACGCCGCCGTGGCCCATGCTGCTTGGCATACGCCCTTGCATGGCGTTACGCACGTTTTTACCAGACACCTGGGAGGAAGGAAAAAAATAAATAAACCAATTAGGAAATATATTTGTGTATGCAATGAATAATTTTTCTCACCGAAGAACCCCTTTGGCTCATTGAACTCCTTATAAAATTTGGCGACATATTGTTATCGCCTCGTGTCATATTTATACTACTTGATCCTTGAGGATTTTTCTAAAAATTAAACCAAAATTATAATATTTTAAAACAATTATAAAAAAAGTATATTAAATATTTAAAAATAATAATGTCAAATTAGGACTTTTATGTATTTTAAAAATGGCACAGAATCGTGGGAAAAACGATTGATTAAAAAAATTATTAATATATTTATGTTTAGTGGTCTAATTGACCAAATTACTTATATGAAAAAGTTAGTGTCACGAGCAGGAGTCAAACCCACTACTTTCGGCTCATGACACTAACTTTTTCATCGCAACCAAGATCTTATATAAAAAGAATAATTAATTGATGAAATAAGTAATTTAGTCAATTAGACAACTAAACATAAATAGATTAATATAATTACATTATCTTACATAAAAAGAATAATTAATTGAAATTATTATTAATCCATTTATGTTTTAGTGGTCAATTAATTATTCTTTTCTTATTTATTAAGACACTCTTACCCTATTATTATTTGAGATGTCATTTGGTTTGTCCCTGAAGAGGTCGCACTCCATCATCAGGTTTTCAGGCTTTTTCGACGATAATGGATTATTCCTGATTTCCATGAGGAACGCCCTGTCATAGACTTTCTTTCCTTCTTGGTTTATCGGCGACCATTGGTCTTCTTTGTAGTTGTACTGCAATGCCGGTGCTGACCTCTCTATCGTCATTGACGGTATGACACCATTGTCCTCCGTTTCAACGGCTTCTTGGGTGTTGTTGTTGGCCACGTTCCCACTTGTGTTGTTGTTGTTATTGTTGTTGACGGCGGCCTCGATCGATTTGGTATTCTCTTCGTTCTTGGCTGCGACCATTGCGTTGACCTCGACCTCCGTCTTTTCCTCTACGACCGGTACCGGTTCCGGTACAATTTTCTCCTAAAAATAATAATAATAATAATAAAATACAATTACATTTGGAAAAATAAAAAGTTAATTTTTTTAACTTACTTGGACGGGCAAAGAGGGTTCAGGCAGGTCAGGCGTGTCCTCTGTAAGTTGAACCGGGAGGGAAGCAGGAGGTTGTTGAAGCGCCTGCTGTACTTCGGGCGCCATTTCAACGAAAGCATCCATGTCCGTACCCTCCTTCTCAACCCCCTTACGGTTCAGGTCTTTCTTCTTTTGCTGTTTGTTCTGCTTTGGCCTTTGCTGCGCCTTGCCCACTGGAGAAAACAAAAAACATTGATTAGTAAGTGTAAATAAAACATAGGAAGACTGTCTTATTTATGTTATTATATAACGACATCATTTCTACGGATTCTTTAGAAGTGTGAATAATTAATTTTTCTCAATACTATTTTACATTTATGGGGGGGGGGGAAACGTATACAATTAGAGAATGAATAAAGAAAAAGGGGGTATAAGGAATTTGACAATAAATATAAAAAAAGATCTCTGACATTCTATTTATAGAAAAATCTCAGTGAGTGAGTACTAAAAATACTATAGGAGGGAACAGATAGGGGGATATAGCCGGTTATTTTCTAAAAGGACAACGACAGGGTGGCGGGGGGTGAGACGCAAATTTTTCATCTACTCACACGTATCAACGGAAAGGGGAAGGTTAGGGAGATCTGCGTTCAGATCCACAGAAGTCTTTCGTAAGGAATCTTTGATACGAGAGGCTGATGAAACCCGGCTCCTTCGCCCGGAGGTCGACCTCCTTCTTTTTTTCCTGTCCATTCGTCAGCGATGATCCTTTCTTGTGGGGTGGTAGTGTACAACACGGATCACATGGCCGTCTCGTGCTTTCGGTCAGGCCCCTAACTGAACTGCTCCCAAACGGTAATCCACCCTCCCCACCATGATCAAACACACACTACTGTTCTAATAATAACCCTTATAACTCCGAAGACTTTCCTTTTGAGTCGGAGAACTTTTTATTTGTCGAAGCACACTGTTGGCTACAGTATGGAACATTATCCGATGTCCCTGCCTTTAATTCCCTGGCTCAATTTAATATAACAGCGTTAACAGACTATTTTTTCTTGATAAAAACATTAAATTAGGTCAGACATCAAAGAATGTCTATATAATTTTTACATGCACATTCAATATAAAAATAATATTGACCTCAATTGGAAATGGGATCACGTGGAAAGTAAGTATTTTAAAAAAATTAATGTTGGGACATTCTTGTAATTTACGTCTCCCTATAAAGTTAGAAATTTTAAAAATTAAATAAATAAATAGGTATAAACATTGTAACCATAAAATATTTTTAATTTCCTGTCGCATACGTCAGTAATTAACTAAATTACATATAAAAACGATATTTAAGCATGATTTCATACCTTAGGCAAGCAGTGAACATATAAAACTCATGACATAATAAAAGATATTCCAATAAAATCTGAAATATTTATATTAAAAAGAAAAATTCGTTTGAAGTTTGTTCAACAAATTTTTTAAATTAAAAAATCATTTCAGTTGTCTTCCACGATGTCCCCTTTAGTCATACGTAACAGGGATCTTTGAAAGAATGGCCCAAGTTTAATTAAGGGGTCTTAAAATAGAAGGAATGAAATGGGGTCTTAAAAAAACATAGTTGAATCAAAGACAGAACATGAAAGTGTAGAGGTAAAAAGGGTTCAAGGGGGAAAATATGTATGATTAATCTTCAGTTTGTATTTTAAAACACAATAACCAAAACCAAATAAATACGGATTACTGTTTTTATTTAGCTCAACTCCCACTTATGTATATGCATACACATAAGAAATTCAGAGTTTAATAAAAGCTAAAATATTACGGTGAACATAAACAATATATGTACAATATGAACAATTGTGGCAGACAAGAGACGAAAAATCAGAAAGACAGTTTGTAGAGGGTTGGGAAGGGTAGTGGCGAGGGTGAAAGCAGGACATTCCCAGCAAGACGAAGATAATGTGGCCAAACACTTCCCGGTAAAAGGAATGTGTCGCGATTTTGCAAGTATGAAAAATAGAGATTGTGAGAAGAAAAGGCTGGTTCGATAATGATAATGACGAGAAAGGAAGGGTGCAAAACAGGTCTACATTCCAAAGTGACTGATACATACACACTGGATACGACCTCAGCCAAATAGACTCCATGAGTGTCCAGCTAGAGCTCATAAAAGGGGGGGAACACGAGACAGTGCTTATTCACAGTGCAGCTTGCAAAGAAAAAATTCTAATACTAATGAAAATTACACAAATATGGTGTAAAATGACATTTTGGAAATGAAATCCGATGGAAAATAAGAACCTACATATAACTACATTACATTGAGTTGAGCAAACTGCCTAAAAGTGCTTGCTTGCCAAAGTGGTCAAAGCGATGAAATTGTTCACTCTAGCTTACATCAACTTGGGAAGTCAGAAGCTGAGCAAAGTGGTTCCTCAAATGGAAATAATCTTCAGTATTTAAAAACTTGCTTTGCATTTCTTTCCAGAACAAAATTGACATTTTTCATCGGACTGTATGTGACGACAATTGGATCCTGAACAGTAACACCAGTAGGTCATACCTCTATGACTGTCCCATTGATGCAAAAACCAAATATTCAACAATAAAAGATTCTTCGTGTTTGATGGCATTGTGCACAATGAACTCTCTATATTATCACAGCAGAAATGCACTCAAGCCAACTACGAGTACGTCTTTCCCTGGCACAGAAACAACCTGCTCTCTTGAGAAGAATAGCTGTAATTCTTTGTCATATAGTGAGAGAGGCAATTATGAAGCTTAGCTGTTCAGTCCTACCACACCATACATCCAGACCTGGCCCCTTTTCTTCTCCATGAACAATCATGTGCACAATTTGGAGTTTGATAATCGCTAACAATTGGAAAATTAGCAGAATTTATTTTTTCTTTCAAGTCCCGGGACACAAACTTAAGAGGATCATAACTAAGCTACATCAAAAGAAAAAAATGCTTATTATTTGCCCATGAATGAAATTAGTGATGGGGGGGGGAGACTGTGACAGACATTCATTACCATCTGAATCATTTTGATTCGATGGATATCCTCAGGTTTAGAGGCAGTATTTACACATTCGCATGAGCGGTGAGGCAAGTGATGGAGCGAATGTGTAGATGGTCCCCTCTGGCCTCGCCATTCATAGCGCTCGTCCAGGAAGCGGTATTCGAAGTCTACTGGACTCATCCGAACAAAATTTCGGAATCCCATTCTGTTTTCCAATCTCATGTGCCCATGCTTCTTCCGATCCTTGAATATCCCATCGAAACCACCAATGTGGTGGCTTTTTGCTAGCTCTTTTTTTTACTCCGCAGACCTACATAAAGTGCTACTACAATCCCTGAAAGTGCGACCTCGTTAGACATGACTCAGACTCAAACGACATGTGGATTTCCAGAGCGAACTTCCGAACAAAGAATTCCAGTGCGTACAAAGCTTTAAATAAATTAAATGCCTGGGGAGAAGGTCAATTTAGTGTTTTAATTGAATATGTTCAGTTGAAATTCTACCACCAGGCCAGAGATGGATCGGCAATGTCAATTTTATCTAATATAATAAAGTAGTCGCATTCCGCTTGTTGTTGCAAGTCGCCCAAATTCCATTAACGCTTGAGGTTGACCACTGCTCTCATTTTTATCAGCTGAAAACTGCCCAGTTGCAACAAAACCCTTTGCTGCCAATCACCGACAACAAGAAAGTCCTTTTTCATATCATTCTCTCGACATGTCACAAACATTCCATACTTTTGCTCTCCCACAAACCGCTTAAAACTTATAATCTTTTATTTCCCCTGAAAAAACCACTTCAGTCTAAACCCTTCATTTTCTGGGCAGTTCCGCTGAACAAAATATAAATAAATAAAGTGTAAATGTGATGTCTTGATTGAGAAAACTGGGCCAAGCATTCAAGGTAGACGACCGGAGAAGGGAAAGAGAAAGCAAATTTTTTTTTTTTACTAAAAAAAATTGAAGCTTGTATCTGTGCTTTAAAATATACATGCATTTACGCCTTTTTATAAACAAATTATAAAAGTAATTTTACTTTTTAATCTTTCTTTTTTAGGGGGGGGAGGGCGAACGAAATTGAGAAGTTGGCCGGGCGTGGTTTTCTTAAATTAATGTTTTTTAAGATTAAGAAGTAAAATTTGATTATTTAATACTTAATGGTACAAATAATATAAAAATGCTAATTTTTAATTGATCAATTAAATACCGGCAACAGTTGTTCCAGATCGCGACGGCGGCGGGGGGAAAACCCGGTACGAATATTCCCTTCAACAATTAGAAAATAAATAAAAAATATCTGACAATAACAAAAAATCCAATTGCGACTTAATTAAAAATCAAGAAAAACTTTTTGTAAAGTGAGGAAAAAAGAGAATATGTCCTTGACACAGTTTTACAAATTCGCCCACTCGGCACTTTCTCCCTTTGCTATTCCAAGATTTCCTCCCCACATATTCTTTCAATTTTTTAAATTTTTAATAAACAATGATAAAAATACTAAAAAGCCATAAAGGTTTGTTAAATATGTATGTAATAAAATGTAAAAGAAAGGCAAATTGGAATTCGGCCGTTTATGATAAACTGCCCCCCGGGCCGCAGCAGGGAAAGGTCAAGGCTGTTTTTCCGGACCAATTTTCCAAACGGGCTCCGCCAGGAAATGATAAAGCACAATTTTCTCGACTTTTCTTTTCCCCCTTTGTTATTATTCTCATTAAAAGAAAACTCAATAACAATGGGTTAAAAAATTTTTAGTACAAAAAAATGGCGTTTTCATTTACCTTTAATGTTCTTTCCCATGTCTTGTACCAAGCATTTTTCTCTCCCTTATCACTTCTCAAAAATATTTCTTACATTTCCATTTTTAAAAAATTAACGGTTTTTAATTGAAATTGAAACTAAATAAAAACCACTTTCGTTGATTGAGAGCGGGGAGCACCCCCGGGTCGAAAAGAATCCGTGGGTCATTTCCCCTGCGGGGGGAAAAATGGATCACGTGCGAGTCCGACTCGGCGGACGGGAATGGCGTAAGCAGGGCTGCCAACTTTGCCCCCACCGACGGCGACCCCTCCACGAATCATGGACGTCTGCGCAGTTTTTTTTTCTTACCCCAGATCGAGACAATTCGACATCTAGGCAGTAAAAGTGTAGACGAAAGAGAAATAATATTTTTAAAAAAATATATACAAAAAAATTCAACAAAGTAGTTTTTT